TGTCGTCAGCGAAATGCTTCCTGCATACGGCATCCTTGGAGCTGATCGCACGGTCCTTCCGAGGAATGGCACGAGCCCAGGCTTCCAGAAGCTTGGGGTCGGATGGGGCGCTAAATAAGCTGACTTTTTCTTTGCAGCTAGACTGACCCGAGTTGCAGCCCCTAACGAAACATTTCCGGCCCATTGTCACCAGTTCCGTGCCACGTCAGACGCGGCACATCGCTCCTTCACGCCTTCACTACTGTCTTCACCGTCTTCACCCTTCGATGTAACGGATGCTGCAGTCGGTCACTGGAGAAGTTCCAAACGGTTTCGTAGCAGCAGAAAGCGAAACCGCCCGCCAGCGGCTCGGGTATCGTCATTGCAGCACAGTCAAAGCAACTAATAAAGAACAGGATCATCTACACTTCTCGCCTGCGACGGCAGACGTACAGACGCTGAACAGAAAGCGGTTTACACTAGCGTCAGGTGCTTGCCCAGCTTGCCCAGGTGCTATCTCTAGGTGCCATGGCTGCCATGTTCCTGATCCCATGGCTACCGTGGCTACCTTGGCTGCCAGCTGCCATGGCAACGTGATCACGTTGCCACGTTGCCATGGCAGATTTCAGACAGAAAGCTACTCAAATCATTAAACTTGAGGAAGAAAACGAGAAAGGACTTGGAAAAGACCGACAACCACAAAGTTTGTGGTTGTCCGTCCTTTCTCGTAGACCATAGAGTTATTATAGCGTACATATCATAGCGCCATCTGTGAGACGTGGTCGCAAACAGAGGCATTTCGTCTGCTACTTCTCACGGACGGCGTCCTCTCGTAGGCGAAAATTAGTTTTTTATCTCTAATTTTTTATTCCGGTGATTGTAAGTGTTGACATTTCGGCATCTTGCTCGAACGGCTGGGGCTACGTTTTGACGGAGTTCGAGTGCAGTTTATTTTTGCGGTGCGAAAAGCCGGGTTCGGATTTCTCACAAACTGAGAAATCCGAACCCGGCTTCTTTCCGCGAGATTTCTCACAGAAAGAAATCTCAAAGCTCCGATTTGTTAGCACCGCTTTATGTTCGTGTTCAGCCTGCTATAAATTTGTGTTGCTTGATGATTATTTGATTTAAATACAATACAGGAGAACATGGAAAGCATCAAATGATGAACAGATGAATATTTTGGGGGGATCAATTGTTGCATAAAAAAATTTGATTTTAAAAATCAAGTGATTTTTTTTTTTCCAAATTGATATTCATATTATGTCTTTCATCAATCAGCGCATGCAACAAAATGGATGGCCCTTGTCATGGCATAACCGTTGACATATGGCTGGTGCAGTCTCAAGACTAAACAATTGTAGTGTTTTTAAGAACTAAACTGCCTGCTGCACAATGCATGTCAATAAGTGGTTGTTGCACATGGAGTGCCAAAGCAAAGAAGTATAATTGTGTTTCAGTTATACAGAACAACACATGAATCTTGGCGTTTGCAGTGGGAGTTTGTTGTTGTCAGGGGCAGATGGAGGTGTTTCAAGAAGGGGGGAGGGGGGGGGGGGGGGGGGTTGTCAGCAGTGTTTGAGAAAACATGCACTGCCCCCCCCCCCCCCTCCCTTTTTTCCTGCCCATGTTTTTTACACATGCAGAAATAAAGTGGGGGGGTCAGGACATCCCCGCCCCCTCTAAATATGCACCTGGTTGTTGTTGTACTGCATGTGGAAGCATACCTATATCGGTCTCTCTGTGCGGGGACGCTTAAGGCTCCTGAAGGCTAGGAAAAGGGAAGGAAAAGGAGAAGAGAGTTCAAGGTGGAAGTTTGAAATTTCGGCCCCAAGTTTTGGTCAGATTAGTATATGCTGGTATATGCCGAGAGCAATCGCAACACCGAAATATTATAATTCTAAAAAAATCTGTACCTGAGCGAATGTGACATTGACGCATTGTCAAGATAGTGGAGGCTGGGAGGGACAGCCTAGTGAAAGACTTGGAGGAATGCTCAGCAACTATTCGATAATCAGAAAATCATCGGCCAAAATCACCGTTCACTTCCGAATTTTCTTTTTGAATTTAAAATTCACTATTTGCCCATGCCTACTGGGAACCTATAAAAAAAGCCATAGCAAAAATGTTTGAATTAACCCGTATGCATCATTTATAATTTCAATATAAATTACTACTGGAGGACCTATAGTTAAATTGCAGCCTATTTAATTGAATCACGAGCAAAGACAACAAATACACTAAACACTGTAATAGGAGCACGCTGATCTTCCTCTGGGAAAGAATGGTGTGAAACAACTATACGAAGATTGATAGAACCAGCTGTGCATTCAATCAATCGGAATTTAGTATGGTTAATTGGTTGATTTACCACTTTGAGAGTTTGTAAATTTGATTGAAAGCGAAGACAAATCGTTTTGGCACCCCTGCTACAGCCTAAATGTTGCCGCGGGTCTTTCCCCACTTTATCCGAGCTTGCGTTGTCCGGTAATCAAAAAGACTATGGTTGGCACGAGTCCTCCGAGATCTTCAGGAGTAAGCGGCTGGTCTGTTAGTGTTTGTTACAAGGTTGCCGAGTCGGGTGTTTGGCTGTATTGACAGCTTGTGCACTCCTCTTCTCCCTCTCTCGAGCGAGAGCCCTTTCCCGCAGGGTGCAAAGCCAACAGTGCGCCGAGCACTTACAAGAACGAAAGATCGCAGGCGCAAAATCCAAATGTAAGCGCTTCTTCTGGAGTGACATGGCTGCGGACGAAACAAAACCGGCCAATCAATTAATTTGTCACAAATGAATGGTAGGAATTAGATCTGTTGACAACTACCGAATTGACGCCCAGTACTATAAGCGAGACTTCTACCTACCTTGGCCACAGAGTAATCGAGAAGTCCGTTCAAGCGTCGTAGCACTTGCACTGTTCTCGCTCAGAGGTGCTGTGCGGGAAAAAGAAATTATGCAAATTAAAATAAAAATGAAAAGCAGCTGCCCTTTTACGCAAATGTGGTAGGCACACATGACTGTTTTTGAATTAGCTGCTTAATTCTTGGCTGTTCCAAATGAATTTTTTCTATAGATTAGTTGAAGATTTTTGACAACTTTGAGTGCATCGTGTAGTGGGGTTTGTGTTTAGACCGCAATCCCCAGTACAGAGAGGTTTTTACATTTATTTTGGATGCGAGTAGTTCTGCGGTTGACACTTCTTTGGTACAGTCAAATCTCATTAATTCGTACTCGAGGGGGACCAAAAATCTGCTTGAATAAAGCAAATTTTGAATTGCCGGGAGTTTCCTCCTATAGAGACACTAAGGATGGAACCTCCATGTTAGTTCGAATTATCCGCAAGTTTCAATTAAGAGAGTTCGAATTTTCGAGATTCGACTGTAGTCCTGCAGGCTTTAATGTCAGTGGTAGTACAGACAACGACAAGTTTGTCACGATTTCAGTGAATTTGTCTTTTATGTTGCTTTGTTTAGTTGTGTGTCTGTTCCGCACATGTTTCTCTTTTGCAGTAAAACCCCCATGTAGAACGCTTTGGCATCGATCCCTGTCGATTCCCTTTTACACTTAAGGGATTATCCTTGGAGACGCTCGCCTCTTTGCCGCTGGAACAAGGCCGCGTCGCAGCTCATTGCCTCCTTCCTGAGAGGGAGAGTTTGTAGACATATGAAACATATGTCGAGGCCATTCGTCGGGAGTTTTTCTTTTTATGTTTCGCTTGTGTAGCTTGGTCCAAGGACTCCCCCGACCTCAACCTCGGAGACTCTGGCAAAGGATTTGTGTATTGAAGATGGGTACAGTTAGTCCCAGGTGGGACTGCGGGGGCGTGCTATGTCTGCAGAGTTGCCACTCAGTGAAACACTTTGGGCGAGCCATAGCTTATAAAAGCCACAGTTTACAAATTCGAGGACGAGCCTAGCAGAGACGCTGCTCGACTTGGTTGCCCCCCCTCTGTAAGTTGTTTTGACCGGTGGTACTTCTAACCGCCTCCGAGCGGTCTGGTTTCGTCGCTGTCTTCGAGTGTGTGCGTGCGTGGAGTGTCGTGTCTCGTCAGGTTCCTGCCATGCAACAAGTCTACAATGTCGATCGGACAGTGCCCCATCAGCGTCAACCATCGAAAGCCCCAATTTCAACAAGTTGTTCATCTGATTTTTTTTTTTTTTTTGTCCAAATGCTAAACCTTAATTGTTTGGATTTAGTTTTTGCTTCGGCAGAATTTCGTTGCGAGGGCCTGGCCAGAGGAACTGTTTCAGGAAAAAGTAGCGTGGGAAGTTTCGGTTTGTTCGCTGTTCCTCGACTTTGTCTGCGGTTTGATTTCAGTGCGAGCGTACGTGCATGCCGTTTCGGCATAGCAGCCTCTTCATTCTGTTTTAGATTTTCATTGTTGTCTCGCACACAATACTAACAGTGTTCGGTTGTGGAGTGTTGACTTTTTTTCTCTTTTTCATGTATACTACACGGCGTTTTATCGCGGTAGTAAATTTCATTGTTTGTTTTTTTCACAGACTCCCTGTGTCGTCATCTCTTCGCCCGATCTTGCACCTGGCGTGGACCAATCGCTGGTCACCGGACGGACCTAGTTTTTAATGCGAAAGCACTAACTGTCTCATGGAGCAAGCTGACGTCATCAGTCTGAAGCGCGAAAATGGCAGATAGTTTCCTTCGGTTCCATTGGATGGCGTGCGTCGACGGGGCTCCCATTGGCCGCTGCGCTCGTCAGTTTCCACGACCGCTCACCCCATGGCGCTGCGTGTCCATCAGCGCGGAGCGTCCCGGGTCACCAGGGGAGCACACGCGCCGACCGGTGACGAAAAGTATGCAGCAGACGAAAAAAGGAGCGAACGAGCGGCTTGCACACAACTCATTAAAAATGCAGGTGTACCTCAATTTTTCTTTTTTTTTTTTTTTCATTTTTTAAAGTTATTTTTGGTGTAATCTTGAAATGTTTCTTTTACCGGGTCTATTAACTTCGACCCCCCCCAGTGACAAAGGTACTGCTCCGCAGGAAGTAAAAATAAAGAAAGGTGACAGCTTGGCGGGGAAACAATCGGGGTAATTTTTTATTATTATTATTGGGAGGGCTTCTTTTCTACAAAACAACAGCTCTGTACAAATAACAAAAATGGCACTCAAATGTAAAAGTGGTGTCAACAAAGCTCTAAGTACAACAGCTGACGCCTCCGAACTTCCGAACACATGCAATCGAGGAATATACCGAGTTTGGGCGTCACAGTACGGCTAAAAAAGGAATCGATCTGCTGGCTTTCGGAGTGAAATGAGCAAGTTTTTCAATAAACTATCCCGCAATCGCTGGCCAGCTAACCGCCGCTATGGTCACTGACAAAATGAGAAGGGCAGGGAGCAGCATTTGTTCCACCACCAGCGCGAGCTTCCGACGGTGCTTCGATGTCTGCCAAAGCACGGCGGAAGGCATGGGGCGCATGCTTGGGATTGGCTGTTCGAAAGACACGCCCTGCCCTTCTTGTTCTGTCAGTGAAATTGTATCCAATTTCATTTGATTGTTCACAGAAAAAGGACACTTATATCGACGCTTTAGGACGAAAGACTTCCGCTCCGAGCAAGATTTAGAGGTACGGTGCTACTAGTAGTGCTTCACGTTTCTACGAAGTTTGTGCTGCAGCTAGTTCTAAACCTAAAGGTGGTATTCATTGGCAACCATAGCTGAGCTCGCTGCTGCTTTCGCACCTCCAGAGAACGGAGAGAGAGGGGAAAGCTGCTAGAGGGAGATTAGCAACGTCTGGGGAAGTCGGGGACACACAAAAGAGAGTCCCAGTGAGAAGAGAGTTTTTCCTTCTGACGGGAAACTCCTCCCAAGCATGTACTGTGGGCAGTCACCTCAAATACGGCGTCCAGTGAATACCACCTGTACAGCGTCGATCGAACGTCTCAATCTTTCGCAAGGTCCTCTCCGCCGTTTTGACTATTCCCGATCGACGGATTTGAGTATTCCTTCCTTTAAGACAAGCACATGTTAACCTAGCTCAAAGTTCCCGAGAGTTGCATAGCCTCGCGGGTGAGTAAATTAATATCACATGACTCAAACTAGAAAAACTGTCTGACTTAGTGTGTAAGCGCGACGTTATCACGACGCACGCCTCCTATAAGACACCGGTTCGGCGCCCTTGCTACTGGCAAGTTGAAAAATCGTGCGTGCCCCGACAGCTGCCAACCTAAATGAGATTATTGCTCTTAAAATTATTAGTGTAGCCGGTACGTTGATATGCCACCTGGCGTCCGCTAGTCGAACCTGCGTAACACAAACTCTCGTTTCTCTTCATGACACCCCCAAATGTGACCTTTCCAAAAAAAGCTCTCGGGTAGGAGAGGTTTGAAGAGGCAAAAGTGCAATGGGTCGCGCAATCATCTGTCGGCCGCGTCGGAGCCTCGCGGACCTTCCTTCCTTCCTTTCTTTTTGTTTCGTCTTCTGCAGAGTTTAGGGCAATGAAAACCAAATGTTCGCTTGCCAGATACAATCACTAACATGCGTGTCAAGCGAGGCGTTTTAAGTATATTCATAGATGTCGCGTCGCACGGTAATGTCTGTCGTGCGCTTCTTCAACCCCTTTGTTGCCTGTCCTTTGCTGCAGTGCGGTGGATGTGGATGTCGTGACTAGTTTACGGGATCTGGAAGTCTCGGAACTGGTAGAACACTCCAACCTGCACAGCAAAAGATGTGCAAACAATCGGCGGGTGCACAACCGACACCTTGTGTCACGTGCGCCAGACAGTGACGCCGTCGGCGCTTCAAAGGCTGGTTCACACATTTACGTTTGACCGTGGCCGAGTGCATTGTGACCTCTCAGAAACTGCTCGACATGCGACACACTGGCACCCTCTGTTGTTCCTCTGACCTGTGCGTATAGTTCCAATATTTTTTAAGCACCGCTCTTTCGCCGTCAATTCGAAATGATTCTGACAATGGTACAGGCAACTGTTTCTCGTAGACTGTGCGCACTGATTTGATTTCGCAAACACTGCGGAAACTTCAGTCTCATTGTACACAGAATGGAAGACTTCCAGGTCTACCCAATGAATGGCACCAGTGTGCCGGCGTGCCAAGCGGTTACGAGGGATCGCAGTCAAAAGCAAATGTGCGACCCAGCCTTCATTTTCCAGTCCGTCTGTTTTTGGTTCGGTGGTTTACGAAACTTTCGAGTGCGAGCAGGTAGCTCTTCAAAACAGACTTTTTAGAGTGTGCCAATTTGGAAGATGCATTGGAAGAGCAGATAAAGCAAGAATTAGTGGATGAGCTAGGACAGTAGTCCACAAACGGGAGCCCTGAACGCCTTGCTGGGGTCCCTAAAAGCCCTCTACCGTCAATCAAACCAAGGAATAAGACCTCTTTATTTACTTTTTAATATCGGCTGTTCTTTTTTAAACATAAATAGACCAAACCACACATGCTAAGTGAACAGGGTTGATTAGTACGCTCAATTTCGGAGCTTTGAAGTTAGTTTGCAAGCATTTAGTTCTCTTCGTTTACCTCTTTGTCATTGTAATTGTCCAGTACTCCACCTCTCCCCTGGTGGGTGGCGTCCCCCATCACTTTCACTGATCCAGAAGGGGTCTCCGACGGCGGTTGTGAACCACTGAGTTAGGCTCATCCTCGGTATTAAAAAGATTGGCTTCTCAACAGTCCCTCCGGTACCTGACAGACCGCTACGGAAGTCAAGATAAGTGGAACGATTCGTTGCTGCCAAGATATCAAAGCAGGAGACAAAAACAACATGCCCAGTGAGAACTTTTGCACACTACTGTGCCGATATCGGAATGGCTCCCTCCATTCCAGTGTGCGACGTCTCAGCAGTCGACTAAGGGGATTTTGGGATAATCCTAGACGGCAGTTCACTCTCACCTTGTCTTTTAGCTGCTGGCAGAGCTGCAATGCTATGGTGAAGAGGACGAGCACTTCGCTCAGCCACGGTACCGACGCCTCAGCCTGCAGTAAAATTATTGGGGCATACACATCATCAATGACGGCCAGCAGGGCAGCAAAGCGGTTTCAAGCAGCAAAAGCGCCGCATGCAGTCTACTCCGGTGTCTTCAATGTCGTAATGGGCTACATTTGTTTGATTGTTAAGGCTGGTTCACATACGTGCAATGGAGTGCGACAGAGTAGTCAAAGTACAGGCTAGCTGGTGGAAGTCAACCATTTCGTCGTTTACCCTGAGACTGGGGGTTTTTTGAAGAGCAGAAGAAACAGAAAAAACAGACAGGTCTTGGGTTTTTTGAAGAGCAGAAGAAACAGAAAAAACAGACAGGTCTTGAGACCTGTCTGTTTTTTCTGTTTCTTCTGCTCTTCAAAAAACCCCCAGTCTCAGGGTAAACGACGAAATGGTTGACTTCCACCAGCTAGCCTGTACTTTGACTCTTTTCTCGTTGGTCCAGAGAGAAAGGTTCACGCATCTAGGATGCTTCAAAATGGTGGCCTATATGCTGGCGATGCTTTAGTATGTGCAAAGAAGCAGCAAACCGTTGCTTGTAAAGCCAGCACCTAGTTGTTTCCTTCTAGCAGAAAGAATAATGCAGAAAGAGGACGAAACAGAAACGGGTCAATTCTTTCAACTCGCAACACGCTCGTTACGAATATACGTAGCTGTCTCCTCACTTAATTTCACACCAAAACACTGGCGTCCAGCATTGCATAAAAAGAAAAAGTGAAAGCCGTTTACAAATCGCTGTAACGCCGAATTGGAGCGCAGCTCTTGAGGAGGAGGAGTGAAGGGTACTGAGGGGAGGGTAGACCCCTCCCCCTTCTCCTCCTCCTCCCCTCATTCTTTAATATGCTCCGGGGGGGGGGGTGTCACGTGACTTCGGGGAGGGGGTCACGTGACCTCGGGGAGGCGTGACCTGGGGGTGACCTCAAGGCCACGTGACCCCAAAGGTGACCTCCACGTGACCTTGGGGTCACGTGACCTGGAGGGGTCATGTGACCTCGGGGGGTCACGTGACCTCAGAGGGGTCACGTGACCTCAGAGGGGTCACGTGACCTGGGGGTCACGTGACCTTGGAAGGGGTCACGTGACCTTGGGGAGGCGACCACGTGACCTCGGGGGTCACGTGACCTCAGAGGGGTCACGTGACCTTCAAAGGGTCACGTGGGGTCATCTTGGGGTCACGTGACCTTGAGATGACCTTGGAAGGGGTCACGTGACCTCGAGGGGTCACGTGACCTTCAGGGGGTCACGTGACCTTGAGATGACCTTGGGAGGGGTCACGTGACCTTGGGGGTCACGTGACCTTGGGATGACCTTGGTTACGCCGACGCCGACGGCGACGCCAACGCCGACGGCGACGCCGCTCAAGCCGGGAACGGGCCCCTAAGAGCTGCGCTCTAAAAGAAAGTCAAGAAGTGCTCGGACAACTTCGGCTCGTCGCGGCAAAACGAACGCACCTGACCTGTTATCCGCCTTTCTTCTCCGCTTTTCGGTCATTCGCTTTTGCCTCCTTTCTCTCGGGACCGCAGACGTCGGCGGTTGCGATTTGCCGTGCTCTGCTCCCCGGTCTTTACCCCCGCCCCCCTTTCCCCCCAAATATGAGCGATCGTCTCTTGTAGACCACGCATAGGTTCAATCACACAAATACTGCACAAAAAATTCGGTACAGTTATACATGGACTGGAAGTGTTCCAGAACTACTCAAGAGAGGGCACCAGCGTATCCCTTCTTTGTAAGCCGTCACGGGAGGTCGCGTTGCACCTGGTCGCAGTCAGACGCAAATGTGGGATGCGTCACTTTCCGACCTTCCCGGCTTTTAAAACTTGCGCAAAGCGGAACTACCCTACTGTAATGATGTCAGTGTGGATGTGCCACTGTTCCAGACCTTGCAAAACCGCGAATTTCGTCCACAGAAGGCAAGCGATTCGCTCGATCGACAGCAACTTGCACGTCGCAGCTAGAAGTTGAGTAAAGAAGCAAGCGGGGCATGTCGTCGCCAGAGCCTCACATGAAAGACGTCGAACTTGGGCTGTCCGTGCGAGTCCTTGTGAATGTGGTAGACGGCAAAAACGAGCTTGTGCGACTGGACGTAGAAGCTGGCAGCTATGTCGCTCGGCAGTGGGGGCTGTAAAGATTTCTGCGAGGCAACGAAAGGGCCCCCGTCAACACCAAATTGTCCCCGAGTGAACGGAGAAAAAAAAAATGCAATCTGAAGCAGAATGAGCTTTAAACGTGTCGCTTTTTCCTGCTTCGTATTATAAGCCAGATATTTTCGTCCTGAAATAATAAAACAATGGAGCAGGGATGGGCAGTATTGCAAGTACAGTGGAACCCCAATTATACAACTTTTGCGGGACAGCGCAAAATCGTCGTATTGTCCGCAAGTTGTATCATCTGAAAAAACAATAATTACGGATAGAGGGTTCGGTCTCGTGCAAAAAATACAAGCGAAGGTTATAAAGGGTGTCTGATCTGCTGTACTTTTATTAAGCAAAAACCGTCGGAACAAATTGAAACGAAACCACAGAATTGCGCGGTAAAGCCACGAGCAATTTTATTCTCACGTCAAAAGAAATCGGTAATCGCATGCTAGACTTTCTTTTTGTTGCGCAACATCGGCTTCCCTTCGAAGGCTGCCAGCTCCTATTGTCAACGGTGTTCGTTTGTGAGACATAATTTGCCAGCATGCAGAATCGCAACGACGGGATCCTTGTCGTTTTTCATGCTTTCTGAAAGCGGGAACGGCGAGAAGCAGTGGAAGAGTGCTCAATCCTGGGAGAAGCAACGAGTTGGAGAAGGTGGAGTGCAGAGGACGGCGAGGGTGAACGAGAGAAAAGAGAACAATGGAATGAACGGAGCAAGGAAGCAACGTGAAAACGCTGAGGCATTTCACAACCCAGGGAGGAGAAGGGAAAGCACTGCCTCCTGCTCCCGCCCGGCGCTGCAGCTGTCTCGGGTTGCCGGCGGCGTGTTCCTGGAACCTCTGAAATGGCGTGCAAAACTCTTCCGCGCCTCCACTCCCCTCCTCATGTAGCCGTTGAATTCGTCGCACGTTTTTCGCCGAAACGTTGCATGACGCGTTGAATCAAGCGTCATGTAAACCAAGCTTTTAATACATTATTTCTATGGGGAGTATGTCAGGACCTGAAAAATTCGTCGTAAAATGTGGGATGTCGCATAATCGAGGTTCCACTGTACTAGTATTAAAAAAAAGCGGTTTCGGGGGTAAAGTACTTCTAAAAAGTATTTGAAATAAGGTACGAAGTAAGTGAGAGGTTATGTATTTCAAGTACAGTAGTAAGTACTATACCGGGAGCGATTTACAGAAAGTCAAGTACTATAAATACAACATACTTTCAAAGTAAAGTGCAAGTACATTGTGACGCAATCTTTCACGATGCCCTTTCACAGTTTTTTTGGAACTGGTGAGCGTTTCCCCAGGGGTAAGCGGGGGTGCATCGGTTATTTTTGGAAATGGCAGTGAGTGTTGGATGAAGTCAAGTGACCACAGAGTAATTGTTCTACTCTCGCTGACAAACTATGTAACCCAATCAACTTATAAGGCGCTTATTCGTACCTTTCCTATAGCCGCCATGACTTCACTTCGAGGAATGTCCAGATGACGCTTCAAAAGACAGCGCGTTTCCACATAACGATACACCATTTTTTGTTTTCAAATTTGGGGAATGCACTCTGAAGTCAGGAGTTGTACTTTCTGAAGAAAGTACTAGAAAGAATACTTTAGAACTTTAAGTAAACTACAAGTACACACTCGGAGAACATACTTCAAGTAAAGTACAAGTTTTCTAAACCTACTTAAAGTAGTACTTTACGTACAATGTACTTAAAGTAGATTGTACTTAAAGTACTTCTCAACACTGTAGAAAAATATATATTTCAGATACTTTACATATTTTGTATTAAATACAAAATATGTGGCAAGCTTTACCGTTTCGCACGAGCGCAAAGCACCGAAGCTTCACTGCCTTGCACCGGCACCCATGTGTGAAGCTTCATTGCTTGGCACCGGTGTAATAGAAGAAACAGCTGATGGTGTCAGGGCATCCTGGTCGGCTCGATAGTCACAGAAATTTTGCTCACAGTTGCAGGTCAGCCTTTTTTAATTAAGATTATAGATTGACCCTGATTTTAAAGGAGGGTTCCGGAAAAGAAAACAGAGCGACATTCAAATAAATAAGGTGGTCATTATGTTTTACCCACTCGTCATATCAGCGCCTTTCTTTTCTTCAGGAAAACACCCCCTGGGAGGGTCAACTTTTGAACGCTTTGCTTAAAATTAATGAAATTCACAGGGTAGGCTGGTGGTGATGCTAGATGGTGCATAACAAAATTTCAGGTCTATCGGATAAATGGGAGGAAATTAGAGCACCTTCTATCAGCAACACGCCTACATTGTTTAGTTAACCTATCGTCGGAAAACTATCACAATATTCAAGATTTTCATTCGCTAGCTATGTAGCAGAGTGCCTACGAGGTGCGGCTATGAAAAGGTTTTTGTAAAAAGTCATTTATTTCTATCAATTTTTGTATTTCTCTTTTGATTCATTGACGAGAATTTGGCAACGAGCTTCCGCTGATGCACATATTGGGATCACAATGCACATATGTCGGCTTATCAATGCAGCTTCGCAGCATCGACCATACAAATATGCAAGTGCGACTTATACAAACGCATGACTTATTGACCAACTCTTTTTGTGAAAATAGCTGTTTAGAGCAGGGTGCAACCTGTAGACCAGAAAATACAGTATTTTGCATTTAAATACTTCCCTTAAAATTTCAGTTGAATTTGTATTTCAATACATTTTTGTCAGTTTTCTGCCCGTCCCTTCAATGATGTAGTAGTTACAAAAACATTATGTATAAATTGTCTTCCGGTTCTCTAACTACAGTCGAGCGAAGCATGCTACATCGCTGTGCCTTCGCCACACCGATTGGCTACAGTAGCAATACCTGCTACGATGTCAAAACAGCTTCATGGTAGCAACAAAGAATGAAAGTAAGGAATTATGTGACAACCTGCTGCAACATTAATGGTGTCCTGCTGCTACGTGCTGGTATGGCTGTGCCGGTATGCAAGGCAGCTGATGAATTCTTCAAAGAAGAACAGAATGGTAGGCACACATGTTCATTACAGAAGGTATAAGCCATAGCAATATTAGTACATATCAGTATGGTGGTTGTCTACATATACAATGATATGGCTAACACTGTGACAGAACAGAGGAAGAGGGTGTCTCAGTGAGCAAACCGAGCATGGCTTCATGCGAGAGTGTCCACATTCTAAACTCATGAAAGGCACTGTTGACATTATGTGCAAAAATTTTAGAAATGATACGACATTTCACTAGATCCAGTAGCAACAGGCCACAGTGCTGCATTTAAATAAAGGGTTGCTCAACAGTAAGGCCAAAGAAAATTTTTGTAGTTATTGTTGTTGTGCTGGGCTAGGGCTATGTTAAACAGCTTGTGGCAACACCACCGACTGGGCTTTTTTTATGGCCGCAATCACGGCAGCTTGTCAGTGACCAAACATTTTAATGTTGGGTAATTTGGTTGCTTTAACAATGGTTTATCAAATTTTGGAACCATAAGCACACCTCCTGAGGCTATCTCTGAGTAAAGTTATGTTTCTTGCATTTGAACTCCATTTTATTTGATGTTCACACCAAACCCTCAAGCTTTGTACCCTTTGCATAGATTAAACTTGTTGCACAAAAGCTGCCAAATTTCAGGTTTGTTTGTGTTTCTCCTATGTAGTTGGGAGGGGAGGGGGGAGGGGGGGCTAAGTTTTACTTTTGTGCCCCCTCAAAAATAATTTCTGGCTACACCAGTGATGTATAGTGCTCCCCACACTTAATGCCACCATAAGATGCCTCCGTCTTTGCCACATTCTGTGTCATTCCTGCACCTACTGGTCAAACTATGTGGTATGTTTTGACTCTCAAATCTTAACCCAGCCTTGAGAAGACATTTTAGCTGCCACAGCCACCAAGTAAGTTTTCAGTAGCCGGCAATGCATCAATATTTGAGTAGCTGAGTAAGTTTGAGGAGCACCATACAACTGCAGTGGCAGGCACCAGCCCAAGTGTGGATTTATGGGTCAGGCTTGGGGAAGCCAGTGGCAATTCGGTTCAGGGGGAATGGGGGCTCCGTAACAGGACGTAATGTCAAGGACAGATTTAGCGTCACGGACGGATGTGACGTCACAGACAGAGGCGATTGCCATTTCAACGAGAACGAGGCATTTGCATGCCGTTTTTTCCATAGAGAAATGTCGCCCTCGGAGGCTGCAAAGGAGACTGTCGCCACTGCCGCAGCTGTGGCACGTACCATGTTCCTGCTTCCGAGGATCTCCTCAATGGTCCGCTTCTTGGGAATGATGAGGCTGGCCCTGCCTCTCTGCAGGCACCCCATGATGGTGGTCATCAGCTGCCGGCCAGCAAAGAGTACCTCGAATCAGCAACATATCAAACATAATGGCTTCGCATTTCATTAAAAACGAATGACGAGGCTTCACTTCCCATATCGTGGCTGTATGCTGCAGAAAAGCCGTGAGGATGCGCTGCCCAATCCGGGTCCTTTCCTTCTATGTGTAATTTTTTTCAAAATATTTTATCACCCACCAGTGCACTCGCCTGAATACAGCGATGTTCATGCTCGTTCAGTACTTTCACTCATGTAATTATCTTCGAGAAAAAACAAAACTATAGCTGCATTGGCACTTTTTCGTTGAGTGGGATCTAGAGTGATCGAGTAAGCAAACATGTCTGGTTCCCTGCAATGCTGCTTCACCACGGTGCTACAATGTGCCCAAGAGGAAGCATGTTTTCCAAGAAGGTAAAAAATACACATATATTGGTTGTAAAAAAAAAAAGAAGAGGGATCTCGCTATACGAGTTTGCGTTCATGTTTAAGACTGCACACATGTCACCCAAGAATGTACAGAATGTGCCATGAAGAATGCATTTCCTTTTGCTAATCCTCATATGGTTGGCGAAAGCCAGGTTAAAAAGGCAACGTGAAGTTTAAACATCTCCATAAAATAGTTATTAGGCTCTTGCATTTTTCTGCCAAGTCATTAGGGACAGGAGAGTGTGCAAAAAAGTGTTTGCGCAATCGTAACTGGGAACCACCTCGGACGCAATCCCTCTGGCCTCAGTTTTGCTGGGGGCTACAAACGCTTCGTTGAGGCACACACAGAAACGCCAGGATGGACTCACCTGAGTAACTTCCTCTGCAGACTTGAACTCAAACCTTGTCTTGAGAGGAGGAGGCGTGAGTAGGCTTAGGGCTTGTAAAAGGTTGTTTCCAGCATCCTGCACCTGAAAACAGATAAATATGGCTGGGCTAGAGAACTATGAGGCTTTATTTCTATTGTCACCTCAAAGCAAGTTCTGCAAATACTAGTTGGTATATTCCATCAAGCAGTTCAGGCAAGATTTGGCTTTAAGAAAAAAACATGATACTTTAAACACAAAATGTGTTGTTCGAGTCGTTTTCCACGAAAAAATTGTCCCGAACATGCCTCATGAATGAGCGACACTGCTGGGAGCGTTACACAACCATAAATTTATATGTATAAACTTACAAAGGCTATGTAAAATCTACGTAAGAAAGACGTCCCAACAGTGCTCAAACCTGGGTCGGTGCAGTGGCAGTCAAATCCAGCCACTAAGCTGCGTTGCACAGCTACTCTAGAAGCTTTGCGCTCCTAGCAAAACGTGCGGGTGAGAGCGGCACAATTTTGAATGAAAATAATAAAATAAAATAATATAAATAAATACACGAATAAAAACAAACAAATGAATAAATTAATAAATATATAAAAAAACAGTAAAATAAAAATAAAAGATAGATAATAAAAATAATGAAAAAAACTAGTAAAGCCACACATGGAGTGTGCGGGACACATTCTGCGCTCCCTGGTCTTTGGCAACATGACCAAGCTTGTATGTACGACTTTTGCATTTGAAATGCATACGTTTCGATAAAATAACAAATGTATATTTTCCGGGCTATAACCTGCAAAGACAAATTTCAATTAAAAAAAAAAAGCATTTCCTTAGTTCTTCACATGGTGTTTAGTCCTCGTGTAAAAACACTCTCATACGAAGCACATCTGAAAAAATGCCCGCTTGATTAGCCCACAAAGATGCTTGTATGATACATCAATCATTATTAACATTACGTCTCGTCATATTCAACTACCTAGAAAATGTAAATAACTGTACTGTCGGCGGCACCGGATAAATCTTCTAGTTTTCTACACATACCGTTCAAGGACTACGATTGAGAAAATATGGCAAGCAATCTAAAATGCACACACAAGCATCTTGACATCCCACATAAGGGCGGACATCAGTAATGCTCTTCAAGGAGCTCAAATGTTCTTGCTACAGTTTTGAAGGCGAAAAGTATTGTGTAGGAATAAGTGTTTGAGGCGCAGAAATTTATTTCTTTGTGTGCCAAAAGCACGCCTATATTCCGTGCTCGTCCGCTATTCGTTCGTAGCCTTGGTTAAGCAACGAAAATCAACTTGTTCTAAAATGATAAGAGATGTAAGGTTGCAATAAAACTGATTGCTTTAAAAACTGCATAAAGCTTATAAAATTTTGAAAAAGAAAAGCATGCTGCAAAGAAACTCAATATACAAGGTTCGAATCATATGTGATGGGCTTGATCATGCCACATAAATGATATGTACAAGTACTCCGTCCTCACCTAAGCATAGATGCAGCCGAGATGTTTTATCACTGCGAAGTTAGCTCTCTCAACTTCAACGCATTGATTCCTGTTAATTGCATTTTCTCCATCACATGCAAAAGTTATCTTAATTTTATATTCAAATATAGACCACAGACCCTTCGAGACTTCTGGAAACTATTTTAAGATCTGTATATAGTTACATGTGCATTCAATTAGCTAAACAACTGATATTTGATTAGATGACTTTGCTCAGTTGCTTAAATTAATGAAATTGCTATGCCATTCTGAGCCTTCCCAAAAAGTGTCTTTTCAGTTATCCATTCGGTGCCACTCCCCAAAACAGCTTTCACTCCCAGAACAGAATCATTTCGGCTCGACATTGCTTCACTGTGTGGCAGAATTTGCAGTGCACGCGGCTCCCACATGGAAGCGCCGAGTTCAAACCCTGGCAACCTAGATTTTCATTTTACCATTCGCTGCTCTTTCGGGAAGTTCCAGTTCATTCTCGGCAGCTATCGTGTGTTTCCTCAACATGGAGCGTTTCCTCAACACGGAATGTTTCCTCAAAACAGAATGAGTATGAAAAGCAGCTCTATCAGGCTGCATCAAGTCAGGCTGCCGCTGGTGCTCGATCGTACTGTTATGCCGACATTGGCACCCGCAACGCCAATCCTAAAATTTGGTTTTCGCACGAGTTCATCGCATTAAACGTTTAAATTTCTTCTTTTATCACTGTCTCGTCACCGGTCATTTGTGACAAATTGTCAATCAACTCGAAAGGATTCAACAGCTAGTCTAAATGTGTGCCACTGATAGTCACGACAACTTGAACCTTTAGAAATTTCGCTTATACAGACTTACATGTACAGAACAGCAACGTACCTGCTGCAGTTTCCACTGGCAGTCATTCTGCACTATCGTTCTCAAATTGGGCATAGCATGCTTTGGAATGCGCAAAGTAATGTCCTGGAAAAAAAAAAAAGAATAATTGTAAACATGCTACATTTATGCCCAGCTAATGGGTTCATCGTAAAGGTCCAACAGTCCCAAAGAAATGCCCATCAAATGCTGGAGAGGTCGCTTATATGATTGGTGGAGGTTATCTATATGAATGGAAAATGAATATGCCAGCAGAAATGGGAAGCTCGTACTATGACTCAGAACACCAGTAAAGTCAATTGGCATGTCAATTTTAGCTCTATCAGACATTTAATCTCTTTTGATATTCGTGCACCATGCAACACTTCTTTCCTTTCTCGGACCGAGTCACTTTATAAAAGTGCCGCTACTCCGGATTCGTACATCTGTGTATCGACCCTCATGTTGTGTGTTGATTCATTTCACTAATCACCAAGTCATTTGCTTTTTCTTTTTTTATTGCTTTTGTTTTAGTGTGTGCCTCGAGTGTGATCATGAATACTTTAGTTTCCTACTTATAATGTTCTTATAGAGATGAACCAATCGAAATACTATTGTAGTTGTTTCGGGGTGCATTAAATAAAGGTTCTTCTTCCCATTATTATTATTATTGTGACTAGCTCCGCTCAATAAGAGAGCAGTACCATCAAAAGTATTTAGGTCATAGAGCTCCCATTCTGGAGGTAAGCTCCTTACCTGCAAGAAAGCAACTATTTTTGAGTCATGGTTTTTCTTTCACTGGGAACAAAGTGATAAATGTGGCGAGTCAAGAATACAAGGAACCAGAGCGAGGAAATTATTTTCCACGGCAGTGACGGCTTGTGTTGTCGCGTCACTGCTCCTGCAGATTCCAAGTTTCTCTGCACCGCATTCCTCATCTCGCACTTCAAGCACATACACGTAGTGCTTCGCCAAAAGGTGGCCTTCTTACCGCATGACTGATGTTGTCGCCGGTTAAAGTCACGACCACCTTTATTTGATCCGAGGAGGATGTCGAACTGTCAGGGGAGAGAATTGAAGCAATGTAGTGCATCATAAAGATCCGCAAAATAGCCGACACACATCATGTCGTTGGGCAGTTTCATGCGATGCACTTCCGGCCCGAAATTTTGCCGGGCGCCATTTTGACAAACTTTCGCCATGAACCTTTCCCACGCACACGGAGACAGTGTATTCTGGCTCGGCACAGTGCATCTGCATCGCGATCGACAGCGTCTGCCAGAGTAGTCCGCGGCACGATGTGGCATCGTTCAGTAATCAATTTTTATACAAAGTGCCGCCTTTGTTCGAACTTAAGACGAGCCGGCGATCTAGAAGTCGACCCGTTGACGGCCATGAAAGCACTGATAGACGCCACCCGGGCAACTCCGAAAGGGAAGAAATTGAAACAAGCTCGGATTTATGAGGCTCAAATGCGTCCCCGATCGTACTTGCCGAGTTAAATCGTCGACGGAGCTGCTCGCCACGTTTCGGTGTTTCACCCACAACAAACACAACTGCACTGACTAAATGCCCGCATGTAAACAAAGAGTTCCTCAGTGTGGCGGAACGCAGCCTACCGGAAGGGAGAGGGCATTTCATGGAACCGCCCCATAGCTCCTAGCCTACCTCGTACTGGTCATGAAGAACTTTTCGGACTTGACCGGAGCGTCCACGTCGGGAATGGAGACGGGAAACCGCTTTGAGCACTCCTTTGGGAGGAAAATTCCACCAGTGAATGCACTGACGAGCAGCTGCCGCTGCAGTGATGGCGCGATATTTCGAACACCAGGCTTTCACACCAAAGGATCGAGGTAAACGAACACATTAAATAGGTGGTCAAATGAATCGGTAGAATTACCTATTCACGATGATGGCAAAAGTTTGGCAGCACTGAAAGTGTTGCAGTATTTGCAGATCAAATTTTTACACTACTTTTAAGCTCATGACCTAGTCAGAATTGTTTAGAGTCCTCGATAAAAGATTGACGCATACAAAATTAGAACACATATATGTGCATTGGAAGTGTTTTAGGGCCACCTCAAAGATGGCGCCACTCTGCTCTCTCGTAAGAGCTTACAAGCGGGCACGACAAACTCTGCCACACTCTAAAGCAGGCCTGTGACCCTGTATTCATATGCTAGAGTAAATCTCGAAGTAAACCAAATATGGAGGATGAAAGCGTGCACGCTCTATGTGCCACTTTACTATCTGCGGACAATGATTGACCATTCCAAAAAATCCCACGAGGCCTCTCGTTGATCCCACGTGCCATTTTGATGTACGCTCAGGACGGTTTGTACGCCCCATACTATCCGGAAGTGGCTAAATTCCTTCTCTCTCGTTGCTGCAAGTTTAGAGCACAAAGAAGACGGAGCGATCGAGCACGTCCCAAAGCCGACACTGGGCACGTTCTGTTATCGTCCCGCTTTCTTTGCATTCTGGAATCTCAAACTGCTGAAGAAACGTGAACCGTTCCTTCTATTTATGGGTACTCCTTCGGGCGCCACGGGTCGGATTGCCACGGTGCGCCAAAAAGACACCAGGAGGCACTGCATATTTCCAGCATGGTTTGCTAATGTGATAGGGCAAGATCCTGGGGAGGCATATGGTCAGTATGCACTTAGCACAAAGCAAATGTGTGGAATTCCAAATTATGCCATAGCAAATAAACAATCAAGCATTCAAGTAGAGCCAAACATTAAGTATAGATATACCGGGTGTCCGCAGGAAATTCAAACCCGGCTTTTCGCACCACAAAAATAAACTAGACACTGCGAAGAGCTCGAACTCCGTCCGAAAGTAGCCTGAGCCGTTCGAGAGAGATGCCAAAATTTCAGCACCAACCGTTATCTTCTTCAAAAGTTATAAGTGAATTTACTTATATTTTCAATGGGGAAATGGGGCCATTTTTCGCCCGTTTTCGGTTTCTGGTGCCATAGAGCTCCCTGTATTCGACAGCTCCATTGGCCGTCATTTTGCCATAGAAATTTTCAGAAAATTGCTTATAACTTTTGAACAAGATAACGGTAGCTGCTGAAACTTTGGCATCTCGCTCGAAGGGCTGGGGTTATGTTCTGGCAGAGGTTGAGCTCTCTGTGATGTCTAGCTTATTTTTACGGTGCAAAAAACAAGGTTAAGCTTTCTCGCGGACGGTCATTAGTAATTACGTTCTGTAACAAATATTGTCGGAATAGCTGGTGCTATTACAAAGGAGCACTACAAAAGTTATCGAGTTCCCACATTTGATGCCATAACTCAACATATGAAAATAAAGAAAAAACTCGAGCTAAGTTGCAACAGTAAAAAAAAAAAAAAAGTATATTTTTACAAATAATAAATTTTTTGTTCAATGTTCGAGGGCAGCATTCGAGGAATGTTCTAAGGCAAGTGCGGCCAAAAGTGGGTTTCGATACTCGGTTTAGCCAGGTGCTTATGCTGGTATCCTTAAAGGTAAATAAGTTCATAAACAATATAGCTAAATATTTTTTATGTGCTTCAAAATGTTGTTTTACTTTCCATTGATCTCGTGTTATAATGAGTTGAATTAAAAATTTAGTTTAGATAACATATTTTTTGCATTATTCGTGTTGCCTTTTCTCATATCCTATTCAAATTATGTTTTACTGCCACTTCCATCAAACATTTTGTTTTTGTGTGTGTGTGTGTGTTACTGCCAATTTAAATAACTGCCTAAGGTCATTGTAAACATAAATATTTTACCGTAATTTTATCGAGCGACTATGAGCTGCAGCTATGAGTTGTGCACAGGACAGCATAATATGTATTCAATGAAACATTAAAAAAACGGGTCTGAAAGAAAAAAAGATTGAATTTTGCATACCATGATGACTCCCTGTAGCTGCTCCAAGACAATATTCACTTCCTCTTGCAGAAGCCATTCAAACTCCGCGTGCTATAAAATGAATGCAAAGATTATTACCCGGAAAGTTAAATTTCATCCATCTTAGGAGAAAAACAACCCTTCAAAGATAAGGCAGAGCAAACTTTCACCGAATGTTACCACAGATAAACCGTTCACAATGTTAGCTAAAGGCCCAAAATTACAAAATACAAACAAAAATATTTATTTTCTTCCTTTTTATGCGACAGTTGATGATTCAGATCCGAACGGTACAGGTGGTCAATACGTGTGGGGTGAAAACACCGTGGATTGCCAAGCTAAAAGCAATGATCTGACTCGGGTCATTGGTTTGCCGGTTCCTGTTTCCACACTGAAACCTTCGAGGAACGCTTGCACGAAAATGTTCAACGACGTTCTTCTTCTCGCAGACGGTGCGCTATTTTTGTAACAGAGCATCGCTCTCCTGCAAAGAAACAGTTAAATGTTTACTTACAAGCGCTTCAATCTCGTCGACGTCTGCTTCCGCCATTGTAAAATGATGGATTGCCTGTCCGATAGTGGGCCGATAGTGTCGCACCCGACGCAGCGCAACTAATCCAACATAGAACTCTTTAAGATAACGTAAATATTATATCGATATTATAGTAACGCTAATATAACGCTCTTTTATGGGTTGCTTTTATGTTTATTTATTTGGTGGTCTACGAAACGAAATGACAGACAACTGATTCGGCCAGCTCCTCGGGCGACGGTGTATTTTTTTTACGCGTGTGTTTTGTGCGGTGTCTTGAATCCCCAGAAATTTGGGCGGTGAAAGTAGCGAAAGCTATGTGAGCGCGCGCGCGCTTGTGCTGGTGTATTGCGTGTGCTGCACGAGTGTGCGTGTGGTATTCTAGAATACGCGGTGCGGTCGCGAGCTCTAGCGGCCCCAGCCAGTGGTTACCGATGGCTGTGGCCACCAGTTCGCCTCCGAGACGGACGGACGACGCCGTGCAGACGTTCGACGACTGCGTGGTTTTGCTGTGCTACAACCACGAGATGCGCTGCGGCTTGGTCGAAGGTGCCAGCAAGGGACTCTGGCTGCCTTACAAGGACATAGCTCAAGGCGAAAGCTGGGAAAGCGCCGTGGAATCGTTACTCAAAGAGGTGGGGCGCTCTCGCTCGTTTGCCGCGCTATTTGAAACCGCCCTGTCCTCACCTGTCGGCGCTGATGCGAACGCTTCCTCGTTGACTTCCTCCTATTTCGCGTCTCGTACGCCCTTTGACGTGGGATGTCTGGACATTGGTCTGGAGCAGCTTTTCTTTTGGTTACTTCGACTGATGTCGTCGGTAAATAAGCTGCCGAGCCCACTCTGCTTCACTTCGCGTGCGAGCGTAGCAGAAGCTACAGGGGCAGGCTCCACGCTTTCAGCGTCTGTACCGAGCGCGCGTGGAGTGCAAGCGTCGTGTAGGGAAACTTCGCTCGCACCTGAAGTGAAAGAACTTGCGTGCGTTACAGGGTCAAATGGTAGTTTATTTTCCCGAGTGACCTTTGTGATTTTGAAAGTTCGAACCGAGTTATGATTTCCTCCAGGGCCGTATATTGGGAGAGTTTGGCCAGTTGTAATCTCACCGCCGTAACGCCCCCCAACCGAGTGAGCCAATCAGCCCGCGGCGCAGAGTGAGAGGCGCGAGCGCATGCGTGTGAACTCCGGGCTCTTTCACAGCTGTGCTGGGAGTGTAGCATTTTCATTCATGCGCCCGGTGGAATGCATGGAATCGATATAAATTTCGCTTCTTTCCTCTTATCTCGCTGGCTCTGGCAAGAAAATTATAGTGTTAGTCCTCAGTGGGTGAAAAAGATAATGAGTAAAGTTTTCTCGACGTTTGACAGCAAACTTTTATTCAGGCAAAAAAGAAGTCTGCCCGTAGCAGACGACGCATAGCCTCAACAGTGCTCTGCGCCCAACGTGTGTTGCATCAAAATGGTGGTTGTTTCCTCTTTGCTCCCTCCTTCCTCTCGCTCCTTTGGCGCTCTCCCCCTTTCCTTCACTTTTCTTCTCTCCAGCGCCTTCATCGCCTACTGACCAAACTATTAAAATATATAGCTCTGGTTTTGTCTAGGAAAACCGGAACAGCGAAGTAGGTGCATTGCAAGTGCAGGCTTTTAAAAATGACACCTTGCATACAATGCTTCTCTTCTGCCAAGAACATCAAGCTAAATCTGACAGGAATGGCTGGCTTGATCGCAAGGAATTAATCTTAAGAAAATGAGGACAAAGCCAAAGGTAAACGCAAGATATGATCTTTGTCCTGCATTCACTTTTTGCTTTTTCCTCATTTTCTTGGTGTTTTCTCCTTTGCCGAACTGGCTATTTTAATTAATTCAGAATTGTTGTTCTTGGCAGACAGTAAATGGGAGCTAGCATGTGCCGCCAACAACGACCAACATTATGCACATCGGAAGTGTTCGGAGCTACCAATAAGGAATTTTAGCAATCCATTACCGTGTTCCGCACACCTCACTACCAGAGCCTTTGAAGCTTGGTTCGAAGGCTACGGTTGTGCGGTACACGGAACACTAACAGTTTGCTAAAGTCCCTAGTGTCTCCTCTTGTTGTAAGCAGTTAGAACCGGATGCAACACAGTCAATCATACTCAAGTGCAGATGTGTGAGGCAGATTAAGGTTGGTTCAAACGCCTGCACTTGGTTGCAACCAAAGTGCTGTGAAGCCTTGTGATCTCTTTTGCGAGAGCGCTCTAGCGCTATGTATGGGGTGACCCTGGAACTGCATTTCGCTAGAGTTAAGGTTTTGCAGTATTTGTCAGATCAAATATACATACTATTTATGAGAAATTATTGATTATAAAATTGTAAAAGGTGAGTCCATGGTAAAAGAATAATCTTCATAAAAAAAAAAAAGAGGTAATATATGTGGAAATACCAGCATTCCATATCTATCGATATAGATGGCGCCAGTGTATTCTCTTGTAAGAGATCGTAAGACTGAACAACACACTCAGTTGCAACCAAACGGAAGTGTGTGAACCATTAAGGGCCCAGGCTATGGCAGACTTTGACAGGTCGTCCGTTGACCCGACGAAAGGTTGCGGCGTAGCGGTCTCACTACACGCCATTGTTGCAGCTGTCCCTCAAGACGTACGCCAACCAGGGCATGATACAGATGCTGCGGATACAGCCGGGTCTGAACCGGGCGTTTTTCACGCGGGTCATCTTCATGATCCGTGTGCCCGAGGTGCTTGACCAAGGAGCCGACGAAATGGTACCGGTATATTCAACTGTCTTCCATCATCAAAAGTAATGATTGTTTTTTGGGAGCTTTTGTGTCGTGAACAAAGCATATTTCTTGGACTATAGGCCAATAACTACTATACATGTTTAGAAGTATTTTTTAGGTGCGAACTATATGACAATTTTCTATTTCTAGACCGTTTATTATGGCGAGACGTGACGGCTTTTGTGAATGAGAGTATGTTAATGATTTATGTAAAATTTATGTAAGCTGATGGAAACATTTGACTGGTCTCATCAGCTCGTGGTGTCGGCTGCATCCGGACTTGAGGTGAAACGAAGCGTAATAAGCAATCCGATTCGTCCACGCGCGGCGTCCGCAGGGGGAGCAGGTACGCCTGCAGTGGATAGCGGTGGAGGAGATCCAGCGCATGGCCAAGCTGCGCCCCTACCCGTTCATGGGGGTAGAGCCGACCGAGCTGTGCAAGCAACTGCTCCATAACAAGACGCTGCCACCCAACTGCGACTTTGTCGAGATCAACGCCACCACTGCCCTCACCTCCCAGACCGTGTCGGCCAAGTCCCAGATCGAGCAGATGCTCGAGTCGGCCAAGTTCGGCCAGCCAGGTGAGTCGGTCCGCCACAGTTCGTTTTGTGGTGGCGCGGTGCCTGGAACGCGGCTCCGACCGGTGTGCTCACCGCATCCTCAAATGTGGTCCCTCGATTTCTATCCGACGACGTCGTAGAAGTGGCGTGCTGTCGCCTGCCGCGATCCTAGCATCAGCGCAGCAGCAGAGGGGGATGCACAATTCTGAACAGTAGCAAATAAACCACACAAAACAATTTCAAATAAGCAGTGTTGCGCGAATAGTAGTTTCGAATAATACGCTATTCGATGGTGTTGATTGCAGCGAGCTAGCCCCATTGAGTGCGCTTCTCACCGAGCACCTGTGCACTGTGGGGAAGCAATACCAGCAGAGCTCATGAGCTTCGCAGGTACTGATGACTCCAGCAAAATCGACGGCGCCTAGTGGCAAACAGAAACCTGTAAATATTTTATTCACTCGAGTAGGCGGCAGCTTTGCTTGCCAGCCTTCTTTAGCGAATCAGATGTTTACAGCATCTTGCTGTCTAAAGAGAAAGCCATGGAAGCAGGTTGTTTTATTGTCGTTTTTTGTTTTTTCGTATTTGATATTTAAGAAAGAATATCTGCATATAGCAAACAGACTTTTAAATCCCCTCAATTTGGCAGCTGCAACAGTTTTGTCTTTTACATGTCGTAGTTCATAAATATGGCAATGTTAAAATTAATTGAGCTTAGAAGTGGACAAGTGGAAGATTGGGAACAACCTTAGAGTTCAGCCGAATTTTCGTGTAAGCATGGTGCACGGTAGTGAAAGGCTTATTCGGCCAAAACCACTATTCGCTTCGAATTAAAAGTCCACTCTTCGCACATGACTACAATTAGTAATGTAAAACAATACCGAAGCAATCGTGCATGAAGTACATTGGTCCATTCAATCAGAGACGATTCATTACTTCTAAGCAAACTTTTATGATGGTAATCTTTTGCCACAGCCCACAAATGGACATCTTTCGCCACAGCAGTAGCAAAGTCGGTAAATCGATTTGTATTTTTTTTTTCGTCCTCACTTTTCAGAGCAGGACATGGTGCGTTTCGACTTCTTCAGGTTTGCACGCCCCAGCACGTACATGAATGAGCACGTGTTCCAGAGTTATTTGTCTTCCCTTGGCTGGGACAAGACTCCCTACCTCGGGGACCTCTTCCGGTGAGCCGAACGCACTTCCTTCTCGCTGTCCCACCGCCTGTAACTCAATAATTTTCACAGCAAATGCCTCGGATGAAAATACTTGGCAAAATTCAAACTGCTAACTAAAAAGATGCAAACATTTGATGTTTGTGTTTTGCCAGAGTAAGGTCGGTCGGCTCTTGAGGTATGGCGACGCTGCTTTATGTTGTAAATGAGAAATTCAGCCGTTGCAGTACGAGCGCTAGCCTGGGGTTATGCAGGCAAGGTACTCATCCAAATGAGAACAGGCAGGGATGTGGATTGACCCAGGATCCTTGGCCTCTGCGGCACAAGCTTTCGCTTCACGTGCTCCGAGCTACGGTGCGTTAACTCTCTCGGCCACCGATTCCCCAGACTCGTGGTTAGAGTTCTCGGTTTGTCAGAGCAGGCAGTGTAGCGTTGTTCCCCGCCAACGAAGAAGGCGCTGCTGCCCGGCAAGAGCCAAGTGCACGTGCTTTGCTTGCAAAAGCAGTGCATGCAAAATGGAACGAAACCCTTTTGCGTCTGCTCGGAGTCGGTCACGACGCTCCTTTCATCCATTGCGACAGAACATTTGACGCGTGTATAGGCAGCTTTACGAGGAAGACTGGTTTCGAGCTCTACGTAAGAGGCTTTGACCCTCGCAGCATGAGGCTTCGTTGATCATCATAGGGATGGCATTGGTCCGCACATTAAGTGGACAACGCCCGGACGAGCCCATTTTTCGTCTTATCTCCGCGTCACCCATGGGAAAGTCTACAATCGGTTCACAGGCGTCGTCACTCACACGATAGAATGGGACTTCCGTACCATTGGCCTCGCTGTAGCAGAGACGGTGTTCGATCAAGTCGCAGCTGGGACAATGAAATAATACGGCGCACGCTGACGTTCGAAGCTCCGTTATAGCAGCGAGGGTCGTCGCATCAAAGCTTAGGGACGGAAAAACGACCCTCCCCCTTCCCTCCCCACGAGCAGGTTCGAGGAAGGAACCAGCCAGCTCGACGCAGTGATAAGCCGGGTAGTGGTGAGCGACACGGCAATGTTCCGAGGATTTCAATCGTCTGTTTTAGGACCGACTGTGCGGCACGGAACTTTCACCATACAGACACGTTGCTGCGACTCGCCGCATCTTCGATTGGCGAGAACACGTACGGCGTGCGACGCAGCTGGCATATTCGAGCTGCTATTGTTTTTTCTTCTTTTTTTACGCGATTGAGAAGATGCTATTGAAACTAATAGTGCAGTGGAACGTGGGCATCCTGGACAACAACTGGGGCAATACCAATATCTGGCGTTTGTTGATGACACGTCTAAGTAAAACGCAAAAAAGCCCCAATGTCTCATTTGCACTAAAGCCTGGTTCGCACGCTTGCATTCGGTTGCAACCAAGTGCATTGTGCAGACTCATCATTTCTTACGATGGGAAAACACACCGGCGATATTTATCGGGTAGTCATAAAACACTCACAATTTTCTGATATTTTTATTTTTTGTGCATCCTTTTTTTCTTTGTGGGCGCGAAGAACTCTTGACAAGGTTATAAACAAGTGTGTCTCATAGTACGTAATTTGATCTTGCAAAGGCTCTGCAAAACCTTTGTTGTAGCGTAATGCAGTTCCCGGGCCACCTAATAGACTGTGCCAGCGTGCGAGTGCATTCTCTCGCAAGAGATCGCGACGCTGCCAGTGCACTCTGTTGCCGATGCAAGCGCAAGAACCAGCCTTAGCAACGTCACGCGATGTGTGTGGGCACGGCGACACGACCTGGCGGCTTCACCGGCGTCTCCCCCCAGGGCCATGGACGTGCACAACCGAGGCGCCTTGACCTGGAAGGAGCTGGTCCTCGGCCTGGCGGCCATGGAGCCGGGCACACAGCACGGCGGCACCCCCGGGGAGCTCAGATGCCGGCACATCTTCCGCCTCTACGACGGCAACTGCGACGGCGTCATGGAGTATGCGGAATTCAGGTGGGGGCCCTCGAAGGTATACGTGCGGGGCGTGGCGCACTTCGAGCTTCACTTCATCGCTCCGCAGCCCACGACGTTGCCGCATTGGGTGATCGGAACGCCGAAGGACGATTCGCGAAGCAAAAAGTGTGTACACGACGGGCTATGGCCCACATTTCTTTAAAAAACATGTGCAAAGGAAAAACATTGTTTTTGGAGCAGTCTGGATGAAAAATGTATGTAAAACAAATATAGAACGAAAAAAAAATTTTTTAGAGCTATATTTATGGCTTGAGAGAATTTTTTGTCAAGCTAGCTATAGCAGTGCTCCTTTCCGCTTCTCTCTTTTGCGCCCATGCACTCCACGTGGAGGAGAGGTAAGCCACTCGGATTGATTCAGCTGCTCGGCTAAAAAACGTATGCGAGCCTCGTGCGACTTCCGCTCAACTTTGGCGCGCAACGCATTCTTGGCTTTTTGTGCCGGTATTGGTAGCGGCGGTAGTCAGCGTCTTTCGCGATGGATCCGGAGTTTGAGCGTACACTTCTCGAATGCATCAAACAGCTAGGACTTCGCCCCTACGAGGACACACCTCAAAGACTGGCACACCTCCCCGCAAAAAGCTCCAAGGCCGGCGACATGCCTCTGGACTGCGGTGCCAGCGGGTCTCAACTACCGCTCGAGTTGTACGAGCCGAACCGGAAGAGACGACTTTCTGATACTTGTCTCTCAAGCTTCAAAATATCTCGTTAAAAAAAGAAAGGCGACAAAAAAGTGAAGATTAATGAGCAATTTTCAGAGCTTATACGAAGCTTCCGAAAGAGAGTAGGCACCACGCGACTATAGTGGCCAGTCACAGACTGCCTCTTGCCACTTTTCCGCAGGCTCCCGCGGGCGCTAACTACAAAGTCGTTTCAGGCTATAAATATGACTCTAAAACTTTTCTGTTTTTTAGAGCGCAGCTCTTAGGCACCCTTTTTCGGCTTGAGCGGTGTTGGCATCGCCGTCGGCGTAACCGCGCGGTGCATTATGGGACGCGTGACGTCACTGAAGACGTTATCGGCATCTGCATCGTCATCGTCACATCAGTGATGTCACTGATGACGTCATCGGCATTCGCATTGTCATCGTCACTGATGACGTCATCGGCATCCGCACCGTCATCGTCATCCCGACCGAGGTGCCCGCAATATGACGGAGGCTTATTGCGGAGAAGGCGCCGTGTAACCGAGCTTTCGGCTGCACGTCAAAAGATCCCCAGATGGTCGAAATTAATCCTCAGTCCTCCGCTGGGGCGTGCCAGATGCCCGTGGTAGGCTTGGCACGTAAAACCCCCAAATTTGACCGCCATCGTCATCGTCACGTGACCTCATACGGGTCACGTGACCCCCGTCAGGTCACGTGGCCCCGGTGACGTCACGTGACCCCCGTGGGGCGACGGCGACACCGCTAGGAGTAGCAGACAAAATGAGGAGGTGAGGAGGAGGGAGGAAGGATATACCTTTCCCTCAGTACCCTTCCCCTTCTCCTCAAGAGCTGTGCTCTGATTCGGCGTTACAGGAAGTTGTAAACGGCTTTCATTTTGTCATCAAAAATTTATTTTATGACATTTGTTTTCCATCTAGGCTCCTTTGCACATGTTTTTTGGGCTGTCTGTGACCGTTGCTCTCGCAGTCTTCTGGCTGCGCATGGTCAAGCCGAGGCAGTGTTTTCCTTCGTCCGTCCACATATTGTTTAGTCGCAGAGTGCGGACGTGTCTTTCGAATGCCCGGACTCCAAAGTGCGCTCCGTGCCTCCTGCCGTGCTTTGGCCGTGCGCGCTCGTGCTCGAGATGCAGAGGCATTGTCGAAGGTAGGAAGCTCGCGCTGGGGGTGGGCCAACCGAAGCTCCTCGGTTCTCGCCTTGTTGGCGACTGAAAGAACTGTAATGGCGGAGTCCCTCTAGAGTGACAGATGGAGACCGCCGACACCGACAGGCTGCAGGCGCGAGCTCGAGGCTCGTTGGTGTCGGTCATTTCTCTTTCTTGCTCTGGTGGAACTGGGGCATTAGCACCCTGAAAATGCAAAGACGCCACGTAGCTATCTTGTGACACCTCCTAACCAAATTGCATCATATTCACGCGTCCTTGCCTTATGCACTCTTTTAATTATTTTGAAATGTACTGGCTAGCCCGGCAATTCTTGAAAGGGGTTCCGTGGACCCCGGCGCCATTTTTAAGGTCTGCAAAGCCCCTAGCTCAACCCTCGACCCCCCCCGCTGCCCTCTCTTTTTTTGCAAAATGAATGCCCTTTGTCGACCAAGGCTGCGTGGTGCAAGCTACTGCCAGTCATGAAGGCTACAGCGGTTACCACTTGTCCATCCATTCGTCCCTTCACTCTATGCTTCTCGCTTCTCCCGTCCATAATCGTAAAGGATGCCCTTTTCACGCCGCAATCAGTCGTCTCATTTTGTACCCGCCCCCCTTCCCTTGCCGGCACGAGGTCCCCCGTCACTTTGGCGGGTCCCTGAGGGCTCCCCTACACATCCATGCTAGGGAACAACGAGCTAGTTCATTGTTCCGTAGGGTTTCATCTCCTAGCATATACACAATTCGTGCAAATGCGGGTACTGTACCATGTGCTTCGTTTTTCCCCAGTCTCTGGGTTTTGTCTTAAAACCTGCTCAACACCGAGCTACTTTTATTACATCATTTGTTTCTATGCTTTTGTTTTGTTCTTAACCCTTTTTTCCTCTATGGTCGGTCCGCTCGATCCATTTTGGTCCCGGCAGCTCTCGCACGACAAATCCCCGATCGGTCGGTAATTTCGTAAGGTGCTCATACCTGGAATGTGTCTCCGGCTAGTGTGTGTACCACATCCAATGAATGGTCTCTCGACTTCCGCCTAGCGACGTCGTCAATGCGTCACGCCGTCGGCTGCCACAGTCTCGGCGGCATCGCGGCAGCTGCAGCGGGTGCGGCGGACACCTGTTCTGCCACAGGTCTCTCTCTGGCTCGATGGACCGCGGAAAAGTTTTGGCGGTCGGTAATCGAAACGCTGTGACGACGGCGACGCTCGTCTTTCCTCATGCTTTTTGTTGGAACCTCCATGACCAACCGGAATCGTGGCATCCAACGGCACGACATTCCGGCTCTTGCGACGTCGTTCGTTGCCATTTAGGGACCACTTTTGGACACGCGGGCGGAATGGGATGCCAAAGGCACCGGTTGGAGACGCCCTCGAGGCACCATGGCACTGTGACAGCCATGCGCGAGCTGAAGTCACCAACGAGGCAAGAATGGCGGAGAGGAGCTTCAGTCGTCCCGCCTTCGGCTCGAGCTTCCTACTTTCGACGACAGTTTGGCGCCTCGTGCACTTAGAGCGCATGCACGCGCGGCGGAAGGCGGGGGTCGCGTGCCGGAGGCCTAGCATTAGAAAGAGACGCCCCGTTGTTGCCGTTCCGTCGGCAACTTTAAATGGTCGACCACAAAGTTTCGAGGGGGCGTGCGAGCGCGGCATGCCCAGGCGCTTTTCATTTTCCGTGTTTCGTCGCGAGTCGAAGCGGGGGGGGGGCTGGATCCGATTCCCATCCTTTCTGCGCGTCATTTGGCGCCCGTCGGGCGGCACACTCCCGGCGTGCGCTTCGGCGTCAGGGAAGCGGACTTCAGTACCGCGGATGGTTTGTTAATCGCGATGCGTCATAGGCGCGACGTTTGGAAAACCGGCTCTATCTCGTGACGAAGGGTGTGGAGAACGCTAGAGTGGCCCTACTCGTTCGTGTATGGGGAGTTCGGGTTCTCTATCTGGGTTCCTAGGAACCAAGCAGGGGTTCTTCGAGATGCTCCCGCAGGTTCCTCAAGTCTCCGAATTTCCCTGACCGTCCCTAGCACCTAAAGAAAGCCTTTTTTTTCCAGTTCAAACGCCGCTTTATTAAAAATGAGTCACCTATTGATGCATAGTAGGTATGTTGCAAAGACGCCCTACTCTGTGCTTTGTCATTTACATAGTCTGTACGCTTCTACACTACTTTATTGCATTGATGCCTAGGCTGGGAGGGCTTCCTTGGATCGGCTGTCTGTCAAGAGGGAGGGGGGTTTATTGGGATTCAAATGTTTGAGGACCCCTGATTAGAGAATGAGGCTTCGATGTGGATTGGATATTGAGTAGCACCACGCAAACGGGAGTAAGCAAGACATTTCTACTTGGGGAAACTGGTTTCTGCAACCTTTGTACGCGTCCGCTTCACCTCTTGTTGACCTCGCCGTGCCGTAGGACCGGGCGGCGGGGCCCCGCGTCCGACTCTGCCCATGTGCTAATAAGGGGTCCTTGCAGGAAGATGGTGAAGGACATCCAGGAGATGAGGGGCATCACCATGGACGAGGCAGCGCTCGACAAGTTCACCTCTACCAGCGCAGCGTGAGGAAGGGCACTCTGCCTCTTTTCCAGCGGGCTTAAAGAAATACTTCGGAGCTTGAAGGCTCCGGCAAAATTATGGTAGTCGCTGATTTGCCTCAAGATTGGTTCAACATATCGGAAGGCAGATCCAAAATAGTAACCAAATTACAAGTCACAATACTCTTTTCTTTTTCTTTAATAATATTATTAAATTTACTCATTTTGTCCGACAGACTGAGTGGCTCTCCAGCAACACTGAAAACGTGATGTCAGATGTTGTAATAAGAGGGGGGTATAGCTTGTTCTGGATGTTTGAGGGCGCGAAATGAATGCTGGGGATGGTCACACCAGAAAAACTTAACAAAATGCACAAAATACTTTGTTATTTAGGTTGCCTGCTCGACTTGCATGGTGTGCAATGTGTGACACCACCTCACTGGAGAAAGCTGGCAAATTTTAATGTTGGTTATGTCATAGCCCTTATGTGCTGTTTTCTCAATAGCTTTTTTGTATTTAGAGGTAATAAATAATATGCTCGGAAGAGTATGTTTAGTTTGGGTAGCTCATAAAACTGCCGAGCTCCTCTTCTTAGGTACAGCTCAGTGTTAAAGACGGAGAACTGATTTCACGCCCCATCAGTGCCGTCCTAGCGCTTAATTGCACGTGACGCCGCCTTGTCTTGTTTACACTCGCAATGCACCACTAACAGGCTCGTTACATAAGCCGTTTTATCTAGATAAAAATAAGAAATTAACGCAGGTGCATAATTTCTTCAAACTCCTAATATTTTGACGAGCCTTACACGAAAAGTCTGTTTTTATAAGGGGCTAAACTACCGACGTGCTCGAGCAGCTTCTTTAGCTCAGACAAGTAAAAGGGGGTAACGGGACAACCCCTTGTCCCGCTTGCTTGTTCTATTTAATTCTGTCCATAATGCCATCTATGTTCTTGCTTCATTTACCAAGCTTGTCCAATGGTTTCTCTTGGTTTTTTCACTGAAGACTGCTTGACACACTTGTGTTTTCTGTCCACCGAGTGTGTTGCGCAGTCTCATGATCTCTCGGGACGAGAGAAAAGACTGGCTCCATCTGTCGGGTGGCCTTAGAACACGCAATTTCTGCACATTTCCTTTTTTTTTTCTTTTTTTTTTCTTTTTTGCATCATTTTGTTACGATCGGCTTGAAAATCTTTTTACAGTGTTTCATTTAGGCCTTAGATTTTCCGGCGTTTATTTATAAGGGAGATGGGCAGACGTCTTGCGGCGTTTATTTATTTTTAAGACGTGGGTGTATTTTGCCGATGCACTTTGGTCGGACGTGAAAAAAGAATTCACAAAAATATAAGACTACCGTATTTGCTCGAGTAATAGCCTCACTATTTATGAACAAGGCCCTTGCGCCTACTTTCCCACAGAACACATGTAGAGCCAATCATTGCGTCGCACATAAATAACAGCAAATATCCAGATCGAGAACACGATTCTCCATACATATGCAATCTTCACAGATGGTATCTTCGCTCGAAGACGTTATCTCGGTCCTGTAAACTGCAGGAATTGTGCTGTCCATCGCGGTGATTGGCGCTCTGCATGCTCCGCGGAAAAGCGAACCCTCGGGTTTTTTTCATAAACAGTGCGGCTATTATGTACTCGAGTAAATACAGTATTAGTCAAAGAGGCGTTTGAACACAAACGATTTTAGCTGAAACAAATATTTCAAGAAATGAGTGTTCTTCGGTTTGAACCAGTTTAGCGTTTTTGACACTGGCAGACGGTTATTGTAGTTTTTCGGTTGAAATTGGAAAGTCTACAGCCAAGTTACATAGTATTGTTTCTGACAGATAGTATGTGCATTTGATCCCGCAAATGCCACAAAACCTTCACTCTAGTGAAATGCAGTTCCAGCACCTCCTCATAGATGGCACCAGTGTGCCAGTGGGTCCTCTCATCACGAGAGCGCAAGGCAACATGCAGCACTCGGTTGTAATCAAATGCGAGCGTGTGAACCGGCCTCGAGGAAGAGTCCCACAGTCTGATGTCTGCCTCTGTCTCATCTCAGGAGCTTCAACCTCCCCTTTGGCGGCCAGCTCCCGCTCAACGAATTCCTGCTCGCCGTCGGCCAGCTCAAGTTCAGGGGCACCTCCCTCCTCTTCCGATCTCCGTCCTCCATTCTTCCCGCCCTCAAGAAGAAGTAGTGAGTCCCCGCTCAGTGTTGTTCGGCGCACAAAATAGACGACGACGACTCCCGCAGCAGCGGCGGCCAAGCTTACCTCCTGGCAGCTCAGTTTCGACCGTGAACATTGATCTTCGTGTTTTCATTGTTTCCCGGTTAATTCCACAATTTCTTTCGAAACAAGCATTTCTGAACGTCCTCATGTAACGTTGCACGTTCCCACGAGTGTTCTCGCCCACTTTCTTATTGATTTGCGCGTTTATTATGTGCTCCCCTCTCCCCCTTTCCCCACCCACCACCACCCCCAAAGTGGTGAACAAAAAATGAAAAAGCTTTAATAAAGCTGAACTTAAGAAAGGTTTTAGAGCCAGTCTTTTTATTGTGACTACTCTCTTTATACGCACTAAGCATCCTGAAGAAAGAAAAAATATATTATGATGATTTGTGGCCTATTTCCGAACTATTAAAAGTCTAATCAAACATCCTAAGTTGTTTTTTTTTAGAATTCTTAATTTTAGTTACATTTCAAAGTTACAAGTTCATGCCTGTACAGTCATCAGTATTAAACCCAAAACCATTCTCCACTTTCTCTCGCGATTCGACCGCATCGTCATTCGGTCGTTCAACTACCACCGCGTCGCCACTTGTGGTTTAACTCGATTTGTTTCTGACACGCCAAAGCTTTTCTAGGCTGCAAAAACTCATCGGTGCGCTGGGAACATACTGTTGGCCAACATTTCTCGAAATCAAAATAGAAAATTTGCTTCAATGTCCCTTTGATGGCGTACATCCGAGAAAACATGTTTGCTATCTGCGTTTTGTTTTTAGTTGTTTTTTTAATCAATTAATGTTGTCTTCCTCGTGCACAGCACGCAGGAGTCTCTCATTGAACCGGTGTCAAAGAAGTCCAAGATGTTTCACCCCACCATTGGAAGTGATGTCATGGACCAGAGCGTCACTTGTGAGTTGGACCGGTGTCTCTGTCCAAGCTTTAGCATATAGTAAGAACAGAAGGATATCATGCTTTGTTGAGCTGGGATGACAGTAACACGCTTACAATTGTGACTCGTTACAGTTGCGGTAATTATGCGAAGTTATCATTGCAGTTGTGATGCATCGCACAAAAGATGGCTATAGGTGCTGAGATTACCGGCTCGATCTAGTGACGCCGATTTGCAAATGGATGAACGGATGAATTGTAGTTTTCTAGTGGGCAGCAGCTTGTGTCAGCTAGCCTAGGTTCCGATTCCAAGCACGATTGCCGGGCCAAATGAGAGTTTTTCGTGAACAACAGCACCTCCGTGCAATGAGAGCATCGAGGATTTCAAAAAGTAAATGTAACTTAACCAAGTTACAGGTTACACAAAAATGTAACTGACTTATAGGGTACCGTAAAATCCCGTAAGGACACCCACCCAAAATGAAGAGATAAATGATGAAAAAGATGGGGTGGGCTATCTTTGGGGGTGCCACAGCAAAACTTTACCAAAAATTGATGACAAGCGCCAGGGCACCCGCTACAAACCGCATGATGCCGAAACTGATACCGCAGATCGCGGACACAGCAAATTCGCATTTCACGATGCAATAAACACGCAGGAATTCGCTACAAACTCGTGTGTCATGGAAAAGGATACCGTAAGTGGCCAACGCAACAGATTCGTGTTTCACAGTGCGAAGGACTCGCAGAAGCCCACCGAGAACTCGCATCTCACGGGAACTGATATTGCAGACTGCGAATGCAGCAGATTCAAGTTTCATGGTGCAATAAAGACGCGGGAACCTGCTACAATTTTGCCTGTCACGAGAACCGATATCGCGCCTGCGGGTCGCAGACAAAAACACGGGAGTACGCTACATACTCGCATGTCACAGAAACAAATACCGCAGATTGCGGACGCAACAGAATCGCATTTCACGATGCAATATACACGCGGGAACAACTTGCAGACAAAAACACGGGAATCCGCTACGAACTTGGGAACGGATACCGCAAATCGCGAAGGCAGTAGATTCACATTTCACTATGCTGTATACACGCGGGAGCAACTAGCGTGTTACACAAGCCGATATTGTGCGCAGATCGCGGACAAAAACGCGGGAACCCACTATGAACTCGCTTCTCGGACACAACGGTGCCGCCGATCGCGCCGTTGATGCGCGACTTCCGTCAGACATCGCTTGAGAAAAATAATAGATTGTATTATTTTTCCATCGAGAAAAATAATACATTGTATAATACTAAAACCTGTCATGCATCGGCACAGAACGACTACTGCAGTCATGGAAGCTTTGGTGCACAGTGTTAGCTGGTGAGACATTTCAATGTTATTGCATCGTGATTGACTCAACATTCCGGCGATGTTGCGTCGTGCAGTGTCGCGTAAACCACAACCAATCGCCCTCAAAACAGCTAGCACAAAACAAGTTCTTGCGGACACGCTGAACAAATTGCTCCGTCGTGTCCATTCTTTGCTCGGTAATGTTATCCTCTACGTGCCCACGTTCATGCACAGCATGATCTTGACATGGAGTGTGTTTTATCCTATAGTAAGTTACAGCTCAAGAAGGTAAGACGAGGGAAAAAAAAAGGCTGGGTAGGAAGAAGAAGACGGAATGCTGTAGAAGAGAGGGGGAAACCTCCTCCTCTCTCCAGCGTTCCGTCTGCTTCCTCCTCTCTGGCCTTCCTTTCTCTCACCCTACCCTCTTGAGTTGCAACGGACTATATCACCTGGGGCGAGACCCTAGGCGCCTGCACATCAACGATGTTCATTCTCAATAATAATAATTGGGGTTGTGTGGATATTTATACAGCGTGTAGTTGGTCAGTCATTTCAAAGTTGCAACGAGTCACCCGCTGTAGATGAGCAATTTAGCCAGTGCAGTACAACCGCTAGCCTGGGGTCTTTAACTTGCACCACGCAGTAGTGATACACGACCGCACGCCGGTACAATGCTCATCCAGACAGAAACAGGCAGCGGGGGAAGGATTGAACCGAGGATCCCTGGGCTCTGCAGCGCGAGCTTTCGTTCCACGGGCTCCGAGCTGATGTGTGCTTGCCCACTTGGCCACCGATCCCCCGGACATTCATTCTCAAGAGTGCATTTACACTGTCAAACAGCCACTGCTCGCTACGGTGTACACTTCAGCCACCCCATTCTTGTGCACAAAGGCTTAGGGCATCGAGGGAACAGGCGACCAAAGGCGAGAAAAAGCAGGTGGTGGGGAGCTCGATCGCACTACCCCCAGCGTAATCGCGATCGGCCGAACGTGCCGCACCTCAACCGTGACTGTTATCGGCAAAAGGGCGAGGGTGTCGCCGCCTCACTTGCCCTCTCCCAGTGCCAAAGCCACCTGCAATAAATGCATGCCTGCTTCTTTCGTTTTCAGCAACACAACACTCGCCCGGTACTACAAGCCTATAGTACAGCTGTTGCTGTAAAACAGCAATGATGTCACGTAGAGCAAAAAAGCAACTTGTACTCCGCAAAAAAAATTAATAGCCGTACGTAGATCACACTTGAGTGTCAGCTTCCAGTGGCACTCTTGTCCATCTTTTAGACACTTTGATCTCGGTTATTCATCTTTGACGAATAACTGAGGAGCATCTCTCGGCCCCAGCATCGATGCCCTATGGTAGTGCGGAATCTTACGGAGCTTTTAAAAGGCAACTTTGGTAAGTTCAGAAATTCTGGCATTACGGGTAATTGTAATGTCAAAGCTACTAATAAACAGTTCTATGTCATTCGTTTTTCGAACAGTGAGATAGTTCTCTTGCAAACCTCGTTTAAACGAAAATCACTAGGCGAAACCGCTGCTCTCCAAGGGCTTGCCAGAGTGGGCCGTTTACAGTAAAACCTCGTTATAACAAAATGGGATATAACAAACTAATGGATATAACAAAGCAATCATAATTCCCCTTGCTTGCTAATAGTATGGAGAAATGGACATTGGCTATAACAAACTAATGGTTATAACGAAATAACTACGACCGCTCCTTCAACTTTGTTATAACGAGGTTTTACTGTATAATGAAAACTACAGCCATCAGGCTCAAAATGCAAATGTGCAATTGTCATTTACAAACATTGTGAATAATATTCAGCTTATTTCCAAACACGACGGGTATATTTCAAATTTTATATAAGTATCCCTCTAAAGGAGACATCGCACATGCTGAGGAATGTTTCTCAGGTCTGCTAGAATAGTGCTTAAGCTGGAAAGACGCCTCACTTCAGTACAGGAATGGCCGAGGAAGTCTGGGGGATCGGGGAACCCCCGACAGTACCCTGGGGAACTCCTGTATTTTCTGGAATACAGTTTGAGGACCCCAGGTTTAGTTAATGGAGTGCCAGGCTTTTGCATTCTGGAGCATAGACTTACTAACCTTTTGGCTACTAATCACAATAGACCTTATGCGAAATTGCTTGGTGGTCTGACAACACTGAGAGCATCGCCATTTTAATGTTGGCAAGCGTTGTGGGTACAGAAGCACGGTGGAGGCGTCGGAGACAACCGTACGGGCAGTGTGTGGTGGCGTGGCTGCTGTGTTTTCTGCCTTCCGACTATGGAATGTGGACGAGCAGTTTAAACAACCTACCGCAACTATCTGACGAAACTCTAGGAGCCCTGTGCACACTGGCGACAACCTGCAGTGTGTAAGCTTCCACAGCAAAGGCGTAGGACTTGCTCTGCTGCTTCGACAGGGTTGTCACGAGCGTGCACAGGCCTCTGAGAGTTTCATCAGATAGTTGCGGTAGGTTGTTTAAACTGAGTGGGCACATTGGATGGCCAGAAATTAATAGTGAGAACAAACTGGAGACCGAATGAATGTTTCCTTTAATTTTGCCGCTTTATTGCCAATTTGTAATATCTTTAATGAGAAAAAAGAAAATATGCAACAGGTTCCATTCTTTCTGTGTTTCCACCTCGTCGCCTCCGACGAGCGTGCGCCTCCCGTGAGTCCAGTTTCCCCACGTCCCACAGCGGAGGAGTCCGTTCCTGCGGACACGACGCACCGGTTCCAGTCCCCCCTGGGCCACTACGAGCTGGCCACCCACTCGGTCAAGGTGCGCAGGACGGGTACCCTGGTGGACGTGCTCTCCCTCTGGGACCTCGAAGGTGAGGGCCCCTGCTGCGCGGCAAGCACTTCGTTATTAACTAAGGTGGATGCCACAGCAGGAACTTGTGCCATTGTTTGGATTTGACCGTATAGCTTACATAATAATGTAGGAGAAATCCCACACATTTCGGTTGATTCACGCAACGGGGCATGGACGCGAACATCGGTGGCCCGGATGAACTCATATTGCTCCTGTCGTTTTAGTATACGGCGTGTTCGAAAGAAAATGTTTACGGCATTGTTTTGTTTTTTATGTCGCAGAAGCAAACTATGCTTTGCCGAACGCTCGTTCTCTGCCCAAAGGTAACGCTAGATACTCGAATTAGATGCCAAAGTTTTGGAGCTGACCGTCATCTTATTTAAAAGTTACAAGTGATTTTCTGAAAATTTTAATTGAAAAACGGAGCCTGTTTTGGCGCATTTTTAGTAATAGATGCCATTCAGCTTCATGTAATCAGGAGCCCCGTTGGCCGCCATTTTTAACGCGACAGCGTTTAGGAGCTCATGGCGCAAAAAATGCGACATCGGCGGGACCAGAGGATCCCATAATTCAATGCATGCAGCCACGTGTGATGTTGCACGTGACTGTGACGTCATTACCCTATTGACCCGCTAAATTTTCCCGCCATATTTAGCAAGAATGTTTTCCCGCCAAACTTAGCAAGAATGTTTTTCGCCACATTTGGCGGAAAACTTTCCCGCCAAATTTAGCAAAAAGTTTTGTCTCCAAATTTAGCGGGAAATGTTCCCCCCAGATTTAGCGGGAATTGTTCCCCCCAAATTTAGCGGAACATTTTCCCTCCATATTCAGTGGAAAAATTTCAATGAAAACACCCGACGTCATGCGACGTCACTTGACGCTACCAATCAGACCACGCTTACACGCTTGCACGGCTGGGAAAGGGCGCGGGTTGAATAAGAAGACTTTGCGAACAGGGCCTGATTACACTATCGCATTCCATTCTTAAAGGCGAAACTTAAGCGTCTCCCAAGTTTTTTACAGCGGAGCTGTTAAGGGCTAGTTTCCCCAGGACCGTGTCCAGTACGAAACAAATGTTGACACCTGTGGTCGACACAACACTCTGGTTGCCGCCGTCACTCACAGTTGACAGAAACATTTCTTCGTAGGAAGAAGAGCGGGAATTGAACGAGCGGTGATGTGCGCAGCAGCGCGAATGCTTCTGCAACCGCCGCGAGGCCGCTATCGCCTGAAGTTCCGCTGCTTCGATCGCTTCAGATTCCCTTGCGAAAGAAGAACAGATCGCTTGCCTGGAAAACCACCGCCGAGAACAGAAGCTACAGCTCCGCTGGTCTTCCTTCTTCACCAGAGTGGAAAGGCTGAAAGTTTTCATTGAAAAGTTCAGAAAATCACTAGTAACTCTTGATTAAGATAACAATTAGTTTTAAAACTTTGGCATCTGGTTCGGACCGCTAGCTCCACATTTGGGTGGAGAATGAGCATTTGGCAATGCATAGTGGGACACCTTGTACACAAAGAGAAAAGAAGACAACACTTGCAAGGTCTGCACTCAGTGTTTGTCTAGCTTTATTTTGCAGGAAATCACTGGCATCGTGCATTGTGCTAGTGGAAGCCTCATCGCGGCCCAACGAACACGCCTAACCTATCGGATTGAGTATGCTCTCATTAATTCAAACTCCAGGAAGTCACGTATTTGGTTTGAATTATCACAAACTCGTCTAAATATGATGCAAGATAAAATTATGCTTTTTCATATGAATGATTACACATACTCAGCAGATATTTGATGACTTCCTCTACATAGGTCTACTGATCATAAGCAGGTCTGCCACATATGAAACATTTGTGAAATGTATGACATCAATTAATTGATCCCTCAATAATGTTGTTTATGATGAACTGATTAGACAGCACATGACAACTCAAAATTAAGTTTGTTTGTCATGCCGAGAAGTTATCCAATGTGAACTGTACACAGGGGACAGATGAGCGATGAAAACGGGCACCGCGCGACAATAGACCGATCTCACCAAGCGTTCCACGCGTGCGTCACGCCGTCATAACTGTAGTTCTTAGGAGGCAGACGCCAGTTCACGAGACAGCTCATGCTTCCTCGTGCTCTGCTCGCGCAGACCTCCAGCAGGGTTGTCGCGCGTGCAGAAAGACTACAGCTCCCACGATGCATGTCGGCAGCGGTGGCGTACTCAAACTAGCTGCGAGATCGGTCTATTGTCATAGCAACCTGCTCGGATGCTGTGACGTGAACCTGTGTCATGCCGCCACGTCTCAGCATCCGTGCAAGTTCCTGTAGAAATTTCTGCGAAGTGCATGCGGCCCCCTTGAGTGCGCTTCTCGTCAAGCACCGGTGCACTGCGGAGAAGCGGCACCCGCAAAAGCAAGCTCCGCGGGTGTTGCTTCTCTGCAGTGCACGGGTGCTCGGAAAGAAGAGCACTCAACGGGGCGCGGGTATAAAAGGTATGAATTACACAAAAACACCATTTGAATTAAGCGGCTTATAAATATGTTAAAAACATAGCGGGATAACGAAAATTTTGAAATTTTGGTTATGCTATATGCTTTGCACACTTCTTTCCTTGTAACCTAAAAAGAAAGCCCCTTAAATTATAATAAAAGACCACGTAACAATGCACCCGCACATCGCGCTTGCAGCACTTTAAGACGTGCTTTGAAGGAACAAAGTCCGCCTTATCACTGGCACGCTCTTCTAGACAGGGCTGTGCAGCAGCAGGGGCTCGCGCCTATCTTCGGGGCCTACACCAACATGAAGCCCTGTCTCGGACAGCGTGCCAGCAATAAGGTCGACTTCATTCCGTGCACATCTAAGAGTGCTGCAAGCACCACGTATGTGCAGGTGCGTTGTAACACGTTTTTTTTAACGATTTGTAAATTTTCTTTTTAGGCTAGAAAAAAAAAATGCACAAAGCATAGGTATTATGTAGTAAACACATTAAATGGGAGTTTCTCAATGCGCTCTACAACTTTCCAACATTGATCTCTTTGTTGTCTACCGACATAGTAGGCATGGAAAAAGATTTTTTATTATAGAGGAAGAAAAGTGAACATGCATAAAATGCCCATATCTTTGAACTCATTGGAGATCCTTCCTCAGTTTAGGTGTAACAGTTGTGCTTCTGCTGATGCTCTCGGCTGGCTGCCTTGATTAATTCTGGACTCGAGTGAGCAGTACCATTACTCTCGCACTTCCAGGCACCTCGGCTGTTACAAAGAGCTCGAGATTGAGCGAAAAGACGCGGTTTGAGCGCCTTCCTTCAATGGACTCGTTCAACCAGGTGAGATTCGTCTTTTTCTTTATTCAAAGGCCGTTGGAATACCCAGACAGCGACACAGATGTGGGCCTCCCTTTTCCACGTAGGAGACTAATGGCAAGATCTATGAGGCGGTGTTCTTTTGTTTTCACAGTTGAGTTTGTTTCACCGGCAGGGTCAGAGCTTAAAAGTAACAAAAAAATGTTCAGCCTTTCCACTCTCGTGAAGGAGGACCAGCGGAGCTGTACTCGATACATTGCCACATTGCGCACGCGCTCGTTTCCCGTTTTTTCACGTCCGACACGCCGCCGATCATGGATACGTCTCTGGCGAACCAGAGTCCCACGCAGCGTACGCGGCGCACGTGACGCCAAACGAGTAATCCACGAACTCCCTCCGGAACCTCGCCGTCGCGCCCGGGAACTGTTCAGCCTGCGTGGAGTGCAGTCGCAGGGCCTCGCGCTTCCGCTTGGCCTCTGTGGCACGATCGTCGTCCGTGGCGTTGGCCCGCCGGCGCCGTTTACATCGCTGGTTCTGTTCTCGGCGGGGGCTTTCCAGGCGAGCGATGTGCTCTTCTTAGGCAAGAGAATCTGAAGCACTCGACGCGGTGGAAGTCGAGGCGACGGCGGCTTTGCGGCGGTTGCGGCCCCATTCGCGCTGCTGCATACGTCGCCGCTCCTTCCGCAGCCAGTCTTCTTTCCCCGAAAGGGCGCGCAGCCGACCCATCCTAAGTCCAAACTGAAACTGATGAGAGCGTAGGAAACAGCGCGCAAAACAGACGAGGACGAAGAAACACACGTGACGAGCGCTGCGCTCGTTACGTGTACTTCTTTGTCGTCGTCTGTTTTTCGCACTGTTTCCTACGATGAATTCCCACCAATGCGACCAACTATCCATTCTTGTATGATAGCTGGAAAGGTTGCCGCCATCTACGCGTGACGGCGGCAAGCAGTCTGGTTGTGTGCTTGCCGCCGTCGCTTATAGATGGCGGTAGCTGTCCAGGTAGGTTTGTGTCGACAGGCATTTGATACCGGGCACAATCCTCGGGAGTCTAGCTCCTAACAACTCCGCTGTAAAAATAAAATGCAATATTAATGCGTACAAAAATTCTAGCACCTCATGTCATCACAAAACTAGTTGGGTCACGACGTACGCAGGTTTTTCCATATCCCCAGTTGAGACTCATCCCAGGCGTAAGAGCCTTGCGAAATCTCTGCATTTTTACATATCTGAACGCACTTCTGGTAGATAGTGAACAGTTTGTACAGTTAAACACTATGGTGTCAGATAAATTATTGGTCATATCAATAGTGTCTGAAGGGTCTGTTGACTTCACACTGTCTGTTCAATGACGTGAGGGGAGGGTTTGTAGCCGGCGTCAGAATTACACATATCACCGCAGATACAATTCTTTATTCAGAAATGTATTTTATTCAGAAATCATTGTATGAAATTTATTGAACAATTAGGTAAATTGACAAGCTGGTGTTCATATTAATGAGACATAACAGTACGAGAATTTGCGCAGAAAAGGTACTATACCAAGCCATGCACTTGCTTCTTTGTGAGCAGTGCAGATGTTTCTGGGATAGAGTATAGGCATTTGAAAACATATAGTCGCTTCCATCATTTGTGTCTTGTGTCTCACGCATTGTCACGTGACGTGACCTGTCGGAGCATCTCATATCGGTAGGTAAAGACTGAAGAAAAATGTGGCAAATCATAAGTGCTGGCATTGGTGGTCACAAGAGAAGAAGCCACAGGAAATCATAAGTGCTGGCATTGGTGGTCACAAGAGATGAAGCCACAGGAAATTAGAGAAAGAAAGCAGACAAAAAGTTATGCACATTCGTTTGGCCGCAACGAGTTGAAGTTGGTCTAGCACTTTGTCAACTTTATTTAATTCATGATGAAATACAGCGCTACTAAGACAAGAGCAGAGAGATGAAGAAACACAAGACAAGTGCTGACTAGCAACTCATTCTAATGAAACGAAAAAATACTGCTGCTTGTGTGGTCACATGTCCCTTCATGGTCTTGAGCACCTCTTCTTTCACTAAACACATAACTAGCCGCGCTACCTTAAATCCAAAAAGCCGATGTCGCAGTTCGTTAGTCACTGTCGGCTGGCTTACGGTAGTATGGGGCATGAAACTCAATGAAAACCAATACAGTGGCACAATGCCAATGTGTTCCGATCGGTGGAGGCATATTGGCTGCCCTTCGTCTGTATACTTCACAGACAAACCCCCCGAGGCAGCACTCGTTACTCGAAAGAGGCCCATTAGTTACTTTACAGCTCTGGTCGTCACGCGGCATGACCCGTTGTAGCATCTCGATATTTCCCGAGTTGTGGAGTGCCTGACGTGCCCGATTGCAGAAGTCGCACGCCAACGAGATGCTGGCGGGGCTGCGCTACTTTGAGCGGGCCATCCGCAAGGAGAACCTGGAGAACCGGGTGGGGGCTGGCCGAATGCCCAAGGACCAGTTCAGCTGGGGCGAGGTGGACCGGCAGGCACTGGCTCGCTGCCTGGTGGCCATGTGCAAGCAGACGCGTGAAGTGATGTTTGCGGAGCCCAGGCTGCTCAAGCTCAGCGTGCCCACCTACATCCTCGGTGAGTGATGCCTCCCCCTAGGCCGCCACACGTTCCTGGGGCACCACGTTCTAGGTCACCCTGTTCCGGTGCACCGTGTTCCCAAGGTATCTGATTCCGGCACACCATATTCCGGTGCACTGCGTTCCCAGGGCAACACGTTACAGAGCGCCACGTTACAGAGCACTGCATTACAGAACACTGCATTTCAATGCGGAGTGTTACAGCTAGCACGTGTTACAGTGTAACCTGTTCCAGAGCACCGTGTTCTGGTACTCGTTTCGGTGCACCTCATTCCGTCGGGTGAAATGCACGAGGTGGTCACTTCCCACGTGGGCTGCTCTGACGGTAGTGCCAGTCAGAGCATTGACTTTTCCAATTAAGACTAAACTTCTCAGAATTGAATTCAGAGGATGAGAGCTCACCATCCGACGGAGGAGCTGCACAAAGTAACTACAGTTCAAAATTCAAGACCAGCAGAATGTCGCGAAAGTGAATGCATGCCAGAATGAAATTAAACCGAAGATAGCAACTTTTTGCCCTCTGTGTTTCCACTCTATGCTTCTCGGCCTGAACTGCTGGCAAGCACTGTACATACTCCCTGACCACTGGAAAACTTTTTTCGGGAAAAAAACCCCGACCACAAAAGTGTTGATTGCGGGTGACCAGATTTTGGTATCGAGCTTGCTCTTGGAAGCCGTGTTTCACTTCTTCGACGCCGGACTTCCCGGTCACCCGTTGGTGCTTGGACGATGCAGGGGACATCCATGGGAATTACCGGGACCTGGTGTGCTTCGAGAAGGCCCTGTGGAGAATGGGGCCTGTGCTGACTCCGGCCAACTTCCTCTTCCTGGGCGACTACGTCGACCGGGGGGAACACGGCGTCGAGGTGCGTCTCCTTCTTTCCTTCGCTTAAACAGACAATGCAATATGCTGTGAGATGCAATTTAGGTAGAGGTCATGGTCCGCTCTAAGCCCCACCCACAAATCAGTTGCCCCGCCTATTACTGCTGGATTGGCTTGACTGCTCGGCCAAACACGCTAAGAGGCCTGGTGTCTCCCTTTCCCGAGATCTGGTGCGTCTTTCCTGGCATCTGACAATGCCTGCTAGATGTGTGAGCAGATGCACGGCAGCCTTTAGCACAGTCTGCTATTTCACCACCTTCTATCGTCATCTGCCATGCCCAAAGGACGCTGACACAAATGCTGCCCATCGGCGTGCGTCCGTTTTCGCCTTCGTCCGTCTGCTATTCTGCCTTTGTCTAAAAACTTCCAAAACACTCGCAAGACTCGACCATGAAAGTGGCGTTCTAGCATTGTATTTTACTCAAGCGACGGACCAATACGAGCGTCTGTCGGCGTCCGTCGATGTGCGGTAAAGAGTGACCGAGAGGACTTTAAAAAAATGCAGCAAAATAAATATGCAGTCATTTCAGTTTTTATGTTCTTGTTTTATTTTTTGCATGGCATCCGTGAGCAAGGTGAGAGAGCGTCATGATGCACATGTAAAATGTCACGTAAAATTTGTTCGCTTTGGCGGGCCAGGTGCACCACAATACTTGAGAGCTACTTTCCTTTCGAAGCGGAATGACGGGAATATACCCGGACCAACTTGATACGAGCCGAACGCCCAATTGCCTCCAGCCCAATGGCTCGCAAAATCTTACCTGTGTAGGTATCTTCTCGGTATTGAAACCATAGTCACAATCACAACGGTTACACAATTCACAGAGCGGCGGTGCCGCTTTTACGGTAACCAACGTCTATATTCAGCACCAACACGCACAAAGAAATGCATCGAGCCAGATTGATCAAAATAGGGACGCTAGGCTTGGGCCAGTCCCGCTAGCAAAAACAGGCATCTGCACAGCGTTTCCGAAGGTGCACACTTGCGACAGTTGTTTGTTGCAAATAATGTCGGTTGACGAGCTCAAAACTCAAAGCTCAAAAGACCCGCACTCATAAAAATTGTCGAGCTCAACGAGCTACGCTCTTTCAGCACTTTGCAGCTTCGCAGACGCTGGCAGCCATGTTTTTTAACGTTTCACACTAAAGTGGGAGAAGCAATCTCGGAACACGTTTGAAAACAATAATGACTCTATCTTGATTAGTTGCTTCTCAAACGTAAACAAATGGTCGATTAAAATACTATTACAGCACGTAGATGGTAATGAGAGATGTAAGCACCTTGTAAGCACGGGGTGGGGCTTAGCGGGCTGTGACCTCCATGTTCTGCACCTAAATTGCGTCTAGCAACAAAAAAATATTGCAAGAAAAAAATATTTTTTGTGGTAAATTTTTTTTTATATGTGTTCCTTTAGACAGCAATTATTTTTTCGTTGCGATGTCTCTCTTAAAGGGCAACTCCAGTACACGGAATGCGCCGCACATGCGCACCTTCCCCGTATAAGAGATCCTAAGTAAATAACCAAAATAAAGCAATGGCAAACGTGCGTTCAAGATGCCGTTTGTTTTAGGCTTTTGCTTTAGAACAGTTCTTGCTGCAGACGCCGGCACGTGTGGCGCGTTGAACACCATTCTCTGTATTCTCCTTGATGCTAGGGTAATTTAGCAATAGCTCTATATTTCACTTCTCTCGTCGTAATGGGGAGACCGCCTATAGTCCATACTCCCGAAGAGCGCCTACAAAGAGCCACGGCGGGAACGGCACCGAGAATGTCAGCGGCGGCGGCGGGCGGCAAACTTCACCGATGAAGATCGTGCACACAATGCGAAGCGCGTGCGGCGAAAGGGGCAAGACGACGAACGTGGCAGGGCGGAGAATACATCAAATAAATGTGTGTGCGTATCCTTTTGTCACGATGACCACCGATCAAGACAATAAATGTGTTTGTACCTTTGTTCAGGCTTCTGTTGCACGTCTGTGTTGTGTGCTAAACAGCTTTGCTAGTCATCCACCTTCTCAGAGTAGAATGGCTCATGATTTTTTTTACATTGTGTGTAGGTTCTATATATATCACAGCTCAGTTTAATTTCGGGCGTCTATGGCAAAACAAACTATCTGCTCAAGAGGGATGGCAGCACTGATCATCAGCTGTACGGCTGCGACGTGACATCACTGTGGTGCTCCGGTACACGGTACAACATGTGGAATCAACTGCTGCGCCACCGCGATGTGACGTCACAAGCGTGTTGTGGTATGCGTCGCTTAGTGTGGCTCGACTAAAAGCTAACCCGCTTGCCTCCCGCTAAGGAGCGGCTAGTCTTATCTTTAAAATTGGTTTTAGTGGAGTGTGCAGCTTTGTTTTGACGTAATATTTTGGCTGTGATCATATTCTGTGTCACTAAAGCGATACTGGTCATTTACCTATTTTGGTTTCGTTTTCTACCGGAGTTGCTCTGGTAAGTGTTGAAACCACACAAAGCTAGCACCCCGCAGGGGGCACCTGTGAAAGCAGGTGTTTGGAGAGTGGCGTCTCCACGGACCCCGAGCCATGCGGGTTCGCCCGCCCATGTCTGACTGTGCGTGGCTTTCCCGTGTCTGGGGAAAAGGGCATCCTGGTGGTTGAGCCAAGCCCGGGGTAGGTTTGGACCCTTCGGGGCCCCCCGGGCGAGGCAATACACCACTTCGGCCCCTGCTTCCCGTAGACGGGAGTCCTGGTAAGGCCCGGCCAGGATGATTCAGTCTAGTCGCCACTCCTTCTACTATCCCCTCCCTTCTTTCACCCTTGTCTCCTCCTCCTTTTCACTCTTCTCATTTCTCTTCTTTCCTTTTCAACTTCTTTGGCGGCAAGGGCTAACCTTGGGTGGTGACAGATACTCTCGTCCAGATCCACACTTGGTTATAGTTTCTGGGTAGCGCTAATAGAGTAATGCTTCCAGCAAAGCCATATTTGTTATGGGGTGTTACCTATTCCCTCGTTGGGCTCCGTGGTGGGCGGCGCGCCACAGATTCTGAACACCCTTTGCCTTTTTATGGCTCCCCTCTCTTCTAAACCCCGAGCAGAGCGACCCCCCAAAAGGGTTCGCCCCGCTCCCCCTACTTTTGAAAAAGCCAAAGAACCCGACACCTTTTCACGATTTCTTGTACTTCATGCTGCGAACGACTCTCTACCGTTATCAAAGATGTCACCTTTCCTTGTCTCTAAGGTCCTAGAGCAGACGATTGGAAAGAATTACAAGGCAAAAAAACTTGCTGGAGACCTCCTCGTTGAGGTAGAAAACAAAACTCAAAGCACAGCATTACTGAAGTTGACCAGCTTAGGTGAACACCAAAATTGTGTAACCCCGCACCGGACTTTAAATACTGTCCGCGGCGTCATCTCTGAGGATGACCTCCTTCAGTGTACTGAAGAAGAAATCCTTGAAGGGCTGCGTCGGAGTGCTGTTGTTGCCGTGCGGCGAATCACGCTACGACGAGACGGACAGGAGATACCAACCCGACACCTAGTCCTGACTTTTGAACTCCACTCTCTGCCTTCCACCGTGAAGGCAGGGTATCTAAACTGCAGAGTCCGTCCTTTCGTTCCAAACCCACAACGGTGCTTTCGTTGCCAGCGTTTTGGGCATGGCTCCCGAAACTGCCGCGGCCGAGAAACTTGTGCGAAATGTAGTGCCACTGACCACGTCGCTGACATATGTGAAAACAACCATAAATGCATAAACTGTGGCGGACCACACCCCGCATTTTCACGCACATGTCCGAAATGGAAGGAAGAAAAGGAGATAATTACATTTAAGGTCAAACACAATCTCAGCTACCAAGACGCTAGAGAACAGCTTGCCTTCAAGGCAAGGGGTTCATATGCCGAGGCAGTGCGAAGGGGACCCCCACTGTCTATGGCATCCGTGGAGACGCAGACTTCCCCGGAAGACCTGTCATCTCCACAAGGGTCCTTTTACGTACGTCCGAAGACAGTGGGCAACCCACTGCCTTCATGCTCCAATGAGTGTATTGTGCCCTCTAAGGAGGGTGCTGCACCCTCCAAGGAGCCAGACGTGTCGTCACCGGCACTAGCTGGCTCTTCTGGCCGGGGTCGGGGGCTGCTTCCCCGTGCCTCTGGCAGCTCTTCAAAGCCTGGGCGGTCAGATTCACCTCTACCGCCCAAAGGACCCAAGGTCTCATTGGATGAGAAGATGGATGTGAGCATCCCACTCTCCGATGAGGACCTTCCTCTCTCTCAAACAGGCTCTGTTTCCTCGGCCTCCTGCGAGGCTGGAGGACGGCCTAAAGACACTGCAAAAAGAAAACCATCCCACGGATTGTGGCACCAAAAGACGCATAAACTACATTTCACAATTTTTGCGTAAAACACTTATTGAGGCGTTTCCTTTATTGAAGATAAATGTCTTTCTTCCTTCAGTGGAACTGTAGAGGCCTCCTGTCTAACTACGATGATGTGAGCGATCTTTTAGAGGATCACCGGCCCATTGCATGTTGCTTACAGGAAACGCACCTAAAAACCACCCACACCAATGTTTTAAAACACTTCCAGGTGTTTCGTAGGGACCGTACACATGCAGCTCACGCAGCTGGAGGTGTTGCGGTGGTTGTCCAACGTTCAATTCCTTCTAACGAGGTAGCCCTGCAGACTTCACTTGAGGCGGTGGCTACACGTATTTTGTTAGATCGAATAATTACAGTCTGTTGATTGTATGCACCTCCCAATTATCAGTTACATATGGAGGAGCTAGAAGACCTTGTTAATCAACTTCCTTCACCTTTTTTACTTTTAGGAGATTTTAATGCACACAATCCCCTGTGGGGTTGTGACAGACGGGATTCTAGAGGGGCCCTTGTTGAACGTTTTTTGCTTTCTGCGGGATTGTGCCTGCTGAACACAAATGAATCTACATATTTTAGCTCAGCAACTCACACTTTCACTTCCATTGACCTATCTATTTGTCACCCATCATTATTCCCATTGC